CCTCCAATTGACTCAAATGATGTCAATTAGCCTATCAGAAGCTTCTAAAGCCATGACATCATTTTCTGGAATTTTCCAAGCTGTTTAAAGGCACAGTCAACTTACACAAATGACTTGTGTCATGCACAAAGTAGATGTCCTAACTGACTTGCCAAAACTATAGTTTGTTAACAAGATATTTGTGGAGTGGGTGAAAAACTAGTTTTAATGACTCCAACCTAAGTGTATGTAAACTTCCGACTTCAACTGTACGTTGAATTGATGCCTATGCCTAGTGGGTAGCCTCTTCACTCCTTGGTCTCCCGGAGCAAAAAGCCTAGCCCAGGTCCATGAATTTGTTGAACAGTTTAATCAGAAACTTCATTTTTTTTCTTGTTCAACGTCCAAGCGTAAAGGCTTCCAAAACATGCAACCCACCTCTTGCTGAATTATTTTTACCTCACACATGAGTTGGTGTAGAGTTCTAGCTGCTGCATCAATTTCTTATTGACGAGGATCACAGCGGTCCAGCGCGAGAGCCGCGATGGTTGTTGAAATGGGATCAACAGCATGCGAGGGGATCTATTCTAATCTTATCGACAACGATAGTCAATATTTTGAAGATGCAAACGTTCGCAGTCCAAAAGTACACACTGGTAAGAAGACAAACGTGTTTCCTATAAAAATGAGTTTATTTAGGGAAATTATACAAATTATCTCAAATGTTCAGGTAACAAAAGCAGACAGGGATTGGAAATCAACCTGCTCTCAGAGCATTTCATATTATTCTGTATGTAAATCCGAAACACTCCATTTAGTACGATATGTTGCATTTCGTATGTTTTGTATGAATTTGTGGATGTCATCATCCATTTCGTATATGTTACGAATTTCAATTCGTACAATATGTTACGATTTTGCAAAACCTATTGACATTCATGGCATGTGGGACAAGAACACAGTTCAAATCTATGTGACCATCATTTGACAAAACAATATTTGCATAATTTCCAGCAAAGAGAGCCTAATGACTGATTTACATTGTAAAGTTTGGGATATACTGGTTGAATCAACATTGTTTCCACGTCATTTCAACAACAAAAAATTAATGTGAGGAAGTTTAATCAACGTGGAAAACTGATTGGATTTGCAAAAAGTCAAAGGGAGTGTCAAGGGCTGAGGTGTAAGGTGTGTGGAAGTCAGGCGCAGGACACCGAAGCTAGTCCAACAAAGTTTACTGAAGTTTACCAATAGGCAAAAATACAGAGAACGACCTCAACAATAAACAGAGGCGAGCAAATACGCAAACTGTGCGTAAACTAATAAACAAGAAAACAGGTACAAAACACGCAGCACAATGGACAGGCGAAAAACAACACATAATCTAACCTAAGCAAAACAAGGAACTTATAGGACAAGTAATCAGCACACAAACGGACACAGGTGTAAAAGACAGACGAAAGCAATCACACCAAGAAACATGGAGCGGTGGCAGCTAGTACTCCGGGGACGGCGAACGCCGAAGCCTGCCCGAACCAGGAGGAGGAGCAGTCTCGGCAGAATCCGTGACAGTACCCCCCCCCCCCCTTAACGCGCGGCTCCAGCCGTGCGCCGACCCCGGCCTCGGGGACGGCCAGGAGGACGCGGACCCGGGCGTGTGGGATGCCCACGGTGGAACTCAGTCAGGAGGGACGGATCTAGGATGTCCCTCCTAGGCACCCAGCACCGTTCCTCCGGACCGTACCCCTCCCACTCCACGAGATACTGGAGACCACTCATCCGGCGCCTCGAGTCCAAGATGGTCCGGACCCTGTACGCCGGGGCCCCCTCGATGTCCAAAGGGGGCGGAGGGGTCTCTCCTATCTCATCTTCTTGGAGTGGGCCAGCTACCACCGGCCTGAGAAGAGACACATGGAACGAGGGGTTAATATTATTGTACTCAATAGGCAGTTGTAACCTGTAACACACCTCGTTCAACCTTCTCAGGACTTTAAAGGGCCCCACAAACCGCCGACCCAGCTTCCGGCAGGGCAGGCGGAGGGGCAGGTTTCGAGTCGAGAGCCAGACTCGATCTCCCGGTGCGTACACCGGTCCCTCACTGCGGTGGCGATCGGCGCTCGCCTTTTGTTGACGGATGGCACGCTGCAGATGGACATGGGCAGCGTCCCACGTCTCCTCCGAGCGCCGAATCCACTCGTCCACCGCAGGGGCCTCGATCTGGCTCTCGTGCCATGGTGCCAGGACCGGCTGATAACCTAAAACACACTGGAAAGGTGTTAAATTGGTGGAGGAGTAGCGGAGAGAGTTCTGGGCCATCTCTGCCCAGGGGATGAACCTAAACCACTCCTCCGGCCGGTCCCGGCAATAGGACCTCAGAAACCTACCCACATCCTGGTTGACACGTTCAACCTGCCCATTGCTCTCTGGGTGGTACCCCGAGGTAAGGCTTACCGAGACCCCCAAGCGTTCCATGAACGCCCCCCAAACTCTGGAGGTGAACTGGGGACCTCGGTCAGACACAATATCCTCGGGGACCCCATAGTGCCGGAACACATGGGTAAATAGGGCCTCAGCGGTCTGTAGGGCAGTAGGGAGACCCGGCATTGGGAGGAGACGACAGGCCTTGGAAAACCGATCCACAACGACCAAAATGGTGGTATTCCCCTGGGAGGGGGGTAGGTCGGTCACAAAATCCACCGATAGGTGGGACCATGGTCGTTGTGGAACGGGCAGGGGATGTAACTTACCCCTGGGCAAATGTCTAGGCGCCTTACACTGGGCGCACACCGAGCAGGAGGAGACATAAACCCTCACATCCCTAGCTAACGTTGGCCACCAATATTTCACGCTAAGGCAGTGCACTGTCCGGCCAATACCTGGATGTCCAGAGGAGGGTGATGTATGAGCCCAATAAATCAGACGATCACGAACCTCGAGCGGGACGTACGTCCGTCCCACAGGACACTCGGGGGGAGTAGGGTCGGTACGCAGTGCCCGCTCGATTTCCGCATCGACCTCCCATACCACCGGTGCCACCAAACAAGACTCTGGCAGTATGGAAGTAGGCTCAATGGACCTCTCCTCTGTGTCATACCGCCGGGACAGGGCGTCTGCCTTACCGTTCTGGGACCCTGGGATGTATGTGATCTTAAAAACAAACCGGGTCAGGAACATGTTCCACCTAGCCTGACGAGGCTTCAATCTCCTAGCTGCCCTGATGTACTCCAGGTTACGGTGATCAGTCAGAAGCCTGCCCGAACCAGGAGGAGGAGCAGTCTCGGCAGAATCCGTGACAGGGAGTTTTGTAAAAAAAAACAACGTTTAACCTAAATCCAATGACGACAATTTTTGTTGATTTCACGTTAGTTGACAACTCAACCAAATGTAAATAAAAACTAGATGTTGAACTGACGTCTGTGCCCAGTGGGTTTGGTTAGGCAGTGTTCACTCCGGCATGATGTGTATTGCGTTCACAATACAGTTATCTCAGGGTTGCCATATCTGTCTTTAATCATTGTCTTCCTGTCAGGTCAACTCAATAGTATATACTTTTAATTTATATTCAAAATGCTTCCTCTCACGTATCTGACACAATAGCTAATTGTATAATACTACAGAACTGTCACAAGTTCTGAAGAACAATAGTTCTTATCAAGAAGTGTCATTAGTTAAATAAAATCTTTCATCTAATGTGAAAAAATATATTTGCATGCTGTGGCATTATGACTGACTCCTAATACTGTGAAGTGGAAATATTGTCAATTTCAAAATATGTCAATCTGTTCCTCTGGGAATACTTGTATTCTACAAGTACTGATTGATAGGATATAAACAGTATACCTAATAATTAGTAGCCATTAACCTGTTTCCTTATCAAAAACCCACAGTAACAATTGTGTATTGCAATAATTTCATTAAGGCTAATATCAATGATTCCAAAATTTGAATCCTTTTTTTCTTTGTGTATACCACATAAAAATGTAATTATTGAAATAATTTCATCACACCTCTCTAGTTTTGATTTCATATTTATTTTCTATACTTTTTATAACGATTTATGAAGTCTATCTAATTTTCTACTAAACACACATATATGGTTCTTTGTCTGCTGGATTAAATGTTGTTGACATTTTGAAAAGATTTCAGTGTAAGCATGTTGTGCATCCCCAGCTAGTAGGCTGTAGTATAGTATCTTACTGTGCCATCAAGTGTTTCTGTTGCACAAAAGCCCCCCAAAACCACATACAGGGCAATTAGCAGGGTGTCATGTACTTCTCTTTGCCCTCCATAACAGTGTCTGTTCCATCACTGAGAGAGGGCCCCAGACAGAGTGGCCCCGGGCCCTACAGGTTAGCCACGGCCTGCCTTGCTACACTGTGTGCTGTCCTGCTGCTGTGAGCACCCACTGTGAGTATATCCCCAGCAAACACACAACCACCACACAATGTTGTTTAAATGTTGCCTCCATAAACCACTTCCTGATTTACCCTAGTGTCCCAATGTGACACATCTAAATAGAGGGCTCTACTTCTGTTGTTTCCCCTCCGTTAGGTTACTTGTGTAATCTGACTTGTGTAACCAAATCTCACTTAGGGACCCCAAAAGGTTAGAGCCGGCCCTGCATCCCAATAAATGCCTTCCTGGAAGAAATGACTAATACAAAACTCTACTTGCACCCTGATAAAGTGTGAGAGGTCAAAAAGTGGTGTGGAGTCAGTGATTGTTGCCGTGCCGCTAACTCTTATCCTGAACAGATCTTGATGATTTCATACTCAGCACATATAAAAGACAATTAAAATACATTTGCTTGTTTTGTTCTATGGGGCTTCTTCCTATGACTTATGGCTGCCAAGCTCAACTAGCCTTATCAAAGGTACCTTGTCACCTCTGCCCTACACTCACCTTATTCTTTGTCTTTGCCTTCCCTTCTTTAAAGACATTGTTTTTCCTAGATGCTTTGGACTGAAGTCCCCTGCTTCTCGTCTTCCTCTCAGATAAGAATCTCTATCAGGGCTTGCGCAATGAGCATCAGGCTCCTCTGCCTCAGAACGAGTCTGATCCAGATGCAGAGACAGACCGTCAACGTGAAGGTCCTGACTGCAGCCCTGAGAAAACTGTAGACGGAGAAAGAAGACCTTGTGAAGGAGAGAGATGAGATTCTGGCCAGGTTGGCCAAATCAGATCAGCAGTGTGTGTTATGACATGATGCTGAAGTAAAACATGTATATCTAAATCCTTTTTATGTGTATGACAGAACCAGAGCCCACATCACCACTCACGTACGTCAACCCCATTGCCCCCCCCCCCCCCTCCTTCAATGCCGGTAACCTGTCCTCGGGACTGGCTGGTGTTCAGCAGCAGCTGCTACATCTCCACCAGGAGGATGCGCTGGCACCACAGCCAGGCCTGGTGCAAGGAGGCCACAGAGAGAGAGAGAGATTTGTGAAAAACACTTAAAACACTATTCTTTTGGCACCGAATGACCGATCTGCACGAAACTTGATATGTGGCATCTATGGACAAAGGTGTCTTAACACAATATTTTCCATACTAGTACCTAAAGCAACATGGACCAATAAACATTCACGTAGGGGTGGTCCAATGCTTCCCACAGGTGACAACTCAAACAGGTGCGTCTGGCACCTACTACCATACCCCGTTCAAAGGCACTTCAATCTTTTGTCTTGCCCATTCATCCTCTGAATGGCACACATACACAATCCATGTCTCAATTGTCTCAAGGCTTAACAATCCTTCTTTAACCTGTCTCCTCCCCTTCACCTACACTGACGGAAGTGGATTTAACAGGTGACATCAATAAGTGATCATAGCTTTCACCTGGATTCACCAGGTCAGTCTATGACATTGAAAGAACATGGAAAGAGCAACATGTTGCAAGAACATTCATATTGACCACACGGTGGCGCTATAATGGGCAAATGTTAGAAATGTGGCTTATATGCTTGAAATTTGGCGCCTATGCTCAGGGATATGAGTCTAGCTAACTCACACGATATCTGAGACATCACTGGGCCGATTTTGACGAAACTTGGGTGAATGATGCGTCTTGCCATAGAGATCCGGCATTTACAGAATTACACTGATTGGCCCAAGGGGGGCGCTATAGTAATCAACTCTATGTATGTTAGTCACACACAATATCCCAGACACCACAGGCCCGATTTGGATTACATTTGGGTGAATGATGCGTCTTGCCATAGAGATCCGTCATTTACAGAATTACACTGATTGGCCCAAGGGGGGCGCTATAGTAATCAACTCTATGTATGTTAGTCACACACAATATCCCAGACACCACAGGCCCGATTTGGATTACATTTGGGTGAATGATGCGTCTTGCCATAGAGATCCGTCATTTACAAATGATGCGCTGTATCATTCGTGGGGGACAAGATGTTTACTGTTGCCTTTTTTTAAAATCATGTACTATGTTATACTCCTCATCACTCACATCCCAATGTAATCATGTCTCCTGTTATAGACATTGTCACATCCCAATATAATCATGTCTCCTGTTATAGACATTGTCACATCCCAATGTAATCATGTCTCCTGTTATAGACATTGTCACATCCCAAAGTAATCATGTCTCTTGTTAAAGACATTGTTGCATCCCAATGTTATCAGGTCTCCTGTTATAGACATTGTCACATCCCAATATAATCATGTCTCCTGTTATAGACATTGTCACATCCCAAAGTAATCATGTCTCTTGTTAAAGACATTGTTGCATCCCAATGTTATCAGGTCTCCTGTTATAGACATTGTCACATCCCAATATAATCATGTCTCCTGTTATAGACATTGTCACATCCCAATATAATCATGTCTCCTGCTATAGACATTGTCACATCTCAATATAATCATGTCTCCTGTTATAGACATTGTCACATCCCAATGTTATCATGTCTCCTCCTATAGACGTTTCTGTGGGACCAGTTACCTCGGGACCACTGGAATACCTACTGGTTTGGAATCAACGACGAGACAGCTGAGGCAGACTGGCTTTGGGTCGATGGAAATAAACTGGTGGGAGGGTACGTTTTTTGGCTTTGCTGGGCTACAACAAAAATGTGGGCGTGTTTTGTGGACGCAGATTAAGTCTACCCCACGACTATTGGATTCAATCAACACTAAATGATTGGCTTCAAATTATCCCTGGACTGTGGTGGTACATTTTTTAAATATTGAATCGCAGACCATAGGTCTGACTAACCATGTAAACCAAGATTAGGTTAAATTCTTGTTTGATACACCAGAATTCAACTACACCTGGGATTGTTTAATCTGGGTCTGTGTCCCATAATGTAATGTGAGAACCTGCTTTCTCTTTTACAAATGAGTATATTCATTTCGTTTTTCAAATGTTTTGGTTTACTTGGTCCTATGTGTTCTCAGTTGGTACCTGTGATGCAAACAGGTTATGGTTCATTTGACTGTGTTTTTCATACCCCAAGCCAGGCGTGTGCTATACTGTAGGCCCTACCCATTTATTTTTCCATCTTTAAACTTCTTCAGTTGAGCACCTGCCCATTTTGCATTGATGGACAGGATCAAGATGGATGACTGTCTTTTTGTATGCTGTAAATTTGACTTTTTAGTGTTATAGCATTCTAACAAATTCATGTTTTGCCTTCTGCATGCTCTGAGTCATCCAGAAGATTACTAGAGAGTCTGTATACTGTTATAAGACTATCAACATGCGGCCTAAGGTTCACAGCCTTAGAAAGATAGTTGGGCTGCACCTATGGAACCCCCCCCCATCACTACTTTCATTCAAGATTAAATCTGCCATTTTAGTGGGTTTGTCAAACACTTGCAGCCCAACCCCTCCACCCCCACACCACCCAATATTGTCAATATTCTATATTTGCATGATCTCCTTTTTGGTTTATGTAACTTGCTTACTCGTTAGGCCTAGTTTCCACATGTTGAATGCAAATGCGGCATTTGAGCTTCTATAGATTGAGAGATAATGTATCACTGCAAGCATAAACCTTGTCTTGTCAGAACTGCAGGACCAGTACTTTAGGATGGACAAACTGGTATTTATCAGAGTCAATGTGCCTATCATTGCAATCAACATATTTGCAAACTTATTTTTTGCCTTCTGCCTGTTCTGTCCTCTGCGAGGCAGAGAGCGACTCAAACAGCCTGTGAAGATACTACTGGGATCGTTAGTTTGCTGCACCACTGTTTTCCTGGTTTCTCTTATTGCAATGAAATACTTCCTCTTCACGGAATATCTGGAGCTCTCGCTTGCTGCTAATCTGATAGTGGGGTACACTTTCCCCACTAGTATGACAACCTCTGTTTGGCTGAATTTCTTCTACTACACTCAGATCGTCCCTTCCCAGCGAGCTCTCTTCACCTGGGTGAAGAGGAACATCAAACTCATCATTTACTGGGTCCTGTTTATCGACAGAGTCTTGTTTTTGTTTGATATTTCTCTTCATATTCCAGCAATAGTTGATTTACTCAACTATGTCTCTGGAAATGCTAATGGCACTTACACATCAATGAACTGTACTGCGTCTGCCTCTCCAAATGCCCTGTGTTACACTGAGATGGCACGTGTTGTTTTGAAAATAACCTACATCTTTTTTGGACTCTGTGTGGTAGTTGGGTCGAGCTGTGCCACTTTGCGCTACCTGTACAGACACATGAAGAGTATGAAAGAGAGTGGTAGCCCCTTCTCCTCTCCCCGTCTGCACAGTCAGATGAGGGTCACCATTACTGGGATCCTGCAGGGAATTCTCTACATAATTTGCTTTCTGTGGCTCATCTTTTATATCGTCAAAGACTTTTTCTCTACAGATTTTGACAATAATGGAAATATCTTCTACACAGTCATCTCTCTGTACATGTTTGGCACCACTGTAAACCTGGGTATTGGTCAGTCTGTTTTCCGACAGAGGGCAGCTGATGTTTGGCTCAAAGCTCAACAGGCTGTAAGGTGGTCGAAGTTCTGTGGATGAAACAATCAATCAGGTGTATAACATTGAAACTTATGCATTGTTTTATTTAAACGTGTCATGCTGTGTTGAGTTATAGTGTACTCCAGTTATAGTTGAGTTATAGTCTATCCCAGGACTATATTGATACATAGATGTAATCAATGCTAATAATAATTTGGCTTCATAGACATGGCCTAAATTATTTAAGATTCAATAGTTTACCAACAAAGTTCTTGTTTTATAAACCAGAATTAAGCCTTCACATGGATTCATTTAAACTGGGTCTGTGAAACTGGCCCATAATGTAGTAGGCTATAATATTTAACAAATTAGTCATTATACTCAATTTATTTACTTTTTATTTATTTATTATGTGTTCCTTTGTAGCTAATTTGGTAGAGAATGGCTCTTGCAGTGCTACGATAGTGAGTTTGATTCCTGGGACCACCTGTACGTAAAATGTATGCACGCATTACTGTTAGTCGCTTTGGATAAAAGTGTCTGCTAAATGGCATATATTATTATATTTATGTTTCTACATTATTACATTACATCTGTATCTGAGATGCAATTACATTTGACAGCGTTTGTTTTTCCATCCTTTAACATTTTTGGTGGACTGTAATAATAGATTTGATATAATTATAGATTATATATAATCTGTTTAGTACATAATATGAAGATTACTAAAATGGATAACTATACATGTTCTTGCTGTAAATTGACCTCTATATTCTCTACTACATGATTGTACGTTCGGTTACTCTGTAACAAATCTTTAACTTGTTAAAAGCAACTTGTGAAATGTGTGACTTTGCTTTGTGTACTCAATAAATAATCTAGAAAAGAAAATAACAAAAATGTGTACCCCAATGGATCTCCATGCAGGATAGGTAGGCTATTACAAACTACTACTGTTTTACTCCTATGGGTACACTTAATATGGCCGCCGGTCCACCCATCTAGGGCATTGACTTGAATGGCAACAACCATTCTAGTCATTCTCTTTCTATGGGTCCATCTAACTACCTATAGCCCAGGTAAAGAGAGCCTGTGGCTCTGGATCCATAGGTAACCGCCCCATTCCGCCCCCGTCCCGCACCCCCTGGATCCCCTGGAAAGATCCCTATCACGTTCCGTGCATGTGTTTCTTTACCTCTACTTTAAGCACACATTTTTGTGGTCACCCTCTCGTCACATTTCTCACTGTCCAATCGTGAATGATGATAATTCTTCAAGTTTTACCGGTGAAACGTCCATGCAGCATCTGCATCCCAACCATTTGATCCCAATCAGTTTCATGGTAATATGCATTTCGATCTTCTTAGTTATGTACAGTGTTGTTTCGAATAATGTACAGTCAGCGAATTCTAGAGTTCTAGAATTCTAGTGTTAACAATTCTAGTGTTAACAAACTGTAACGTACCTGTTTTGTATCATTATGTGATCTTGCAGACACTGATTCAGCTTTGATCTAACTTTATTAAACAAGCACCATTTGCCGGAGTAGCCTGTTCTCTAATGACCCGATTCAGACTTAGAAAATGTACTCCTTTCCTATACACGCCTTTCCTACCACTTCTCAGTAGTGGATATTCAGATTTACCTTATGCAGGTGCATAATGGGCTTCGCAGGCGTGGTTCCCTTGTGCGTGCTGAATAAATGTAATTAAACCGCTGAAAACCCTCCCACTTGCTGGCCAGCAGATTTTCTCATGGAGTTTTCATTCAATAGGGCTTTCAGCACATTTATCTAAAGCCATCCATTTAAATTTGGTGTACCTTTTTTAATTATAATTTTCTCAACAGACTCACTGGAATATATGGAGAGAATTGTTCAGAATATAGCGCTCAATGAAGAAAGCCATGTAAATACACGCATATTCATCTCCTTTTCAGCACCAATTGGTAGATTTAAAAATACTCCGATCTTGTATATTATTTAGGGAAAGGAAATGATTTATGAATAATAAAAATACAGGTTTGGAGAGCCTTTACGCACGAAATATATTGGTGAATAAAGAATAGTGGTTTGATTCACCCTGAAAGTTGCCATGTTCAATTGTTTAATCTATGAAATATTGGAAGGTGAGAAAAGTGTACAATAGGGGTTGAACAGTAGTCCTATAAATATACCCTAATAATCCTCACTAATCATGGAACTGTGATAACAACGGTCCAGTCGTCGTGAACCGTGCGCACAAATTACGGTCTGCATTCCATAATGATTAAAATAGGCTACATGTCCCAAATTACTGCACAACTTGTAATATGTTAGCCTAATATGATCCACTATTGCTAGCGATCCTCAGGAACAACCACACGAACATGACAAAGGAATGAAAGGTAAACTAACAATCGAATGGAATGATGCAAAATGTAAGGAAACGAACACTAAAGTGACAGTTATACATGTAGGGGGATATAACTGACGGTGGCTACTGATAGTGGCTAATATTTAACCTGATACAAATTGTATAAAATACAGTGAAAAGTCCGGGAATATAATTAAAACATTCAACTCGGTAGGTTTGGCGGCATACTGTCATTTGCGCATGGCTACAGAAACCTATAGCTTGGGTCTCCAAATTTCATCCCTGCAGGTTATAAGGCCAGCATTTCATAAACGTCACTGTGGAAAAGGTGATATGCTTCAGTTTGCTGCCATATGACTGGTTTCACATTTGTCTCCAGCGATCATAAGGTAAAATAGATCTAAAACATTTGTCATTTATATTTACAATCCACTTATCCAAACGGCTTACTCATTTACCTAGCTCTTATCAACAGCTCTTCAATAGCCTCTTATCCATTTGTCAATGACAGTGCATGGAGAATTCTGTTATTTATATCGAAAAAAAATAAAGTAGATGTTGTTACACTTGCAACCGGAAGGTTGCTCGACCTTCATCGTTTCATTGCGCGTAAAGGTGGTGTAATTATAAGGGAATTAATTCAAGGCGTTTCTTTTATCTCCACCCCAAAGGAATAGCGGGTGAATAGTTCAAGTTTTATTAGTCGTATGTACGAGATACACCTGGTATAAATCGTCCAATGAAATGCTTACTTGCAGGTTTCTTCTCGACAATGCAACAACAATAAGAAATAATAATAGATAGGAATACAAACATAAAGTAAATGGCAGTAGAGTAGAATAACAATTTTAGTGTAAGTATAATTTATAGGCCAATATTTACACGTGTATTGAGAAGGGGGATTGCATCAAAAGGGAATTATGTTTAACACAGTTACCAGTATGTTTTGGCATGCATACTTTGAAAGAGAACCTTTCCCCTTTAGCCCAGTTTCCCCTCCTCGTGGGCCATAATCTCACTTGTTTTCTCCAGGATCTTCTTCCCTCCCTTGATGCCTGGTCGTCATCATATGATCTCTCTTCCTCTTTCTTAATGTGTTTTCTAATGGTTTTAGTGTTGCTTCAGATTACCTTCTTCCTCTTTCTTTGCTTCTATGCTTATCTCATTCTTCTGTTTTTTCTTGTTTTATATCCTTACTTTTTTATTAATATTATTATTCTTTACATATTCCACTGTTTTGTGTATGCTTACTACTGCTGTAATTAAGACAGCAATAAGAGAGTGAAGAATATGGTTCATCATTGTGCATTGTGCACGGTACATGATGCATGTGTTTTTATCTAACCTTTATTGATACAGATTTGTCTCACTGAGATAAAAAAAAATATTTTGCAAGAGAGACCTGTAGAGGCACTGTAGATAACTCAGTTCATTAGTGCACACCAATGGCCAACAGCTATTCTAATGAAACAATATATTATATATATTGTTGTTACATTATGTACTGTACATTATACCAAGAGATGTTTGGTTGACTTTGTGGGTTTTTCTAAAGAAACCATTTTTCTCCCTGTGTAGCTTTTGGGAGGAGGGCGAGCCCAACAACCACATTGACGAAGACTGTGGCTACATCGTGAAGACGCGCAAACTGGAGCGCAAGGCGGTGACCAGCTGGTACGACGCCCTATGCACCATGTACTGGCCCTTCATCTGTGAGATCGAGATGTAGTCCTCTGTTCCTGCTACTTAGAGATAAGCACTTACCAGGCTCATGTTGGATCCAGAATGACTTCCTCTTTGAGCTGGAATTGTGTCAATGTTCATAATGATAGACCAGTGATGACCAACCCTTCACCTGGGAATGCAGGGTTTTGCGCCAACCCTGCTCGAACATATCTGATTGAGCTAATGAAGGTTCGCATGAGCAGCTGATTAGTAGAATCAGGTGTGTTAGAGCAGGGCAAGAGCAAAACCTTGCAAGCCCTATAGCTCTTCTGGAGGAGGATTGGCCACCCCTGTAGTACACTTTGGTAGACTATTGCAGCATTATCAGGTCTGAAGGGGAATGCTTTACTTTACTAGTGTCTACTGTATTTTGCTTTTTCAATTCAAAATGTACTCAAGGAAGATGTTAGTTACTGTTGTGTCATTGAAGTGGTTACCAAAGTTCAAAATCCTTCTAAAGCACTATCTGTCAATCAATAGTCATGTTATTTAGATTTATAGAAGAAAACATATTTATTTAAAAAAATATTTATATAAATGTTATTCGTGAAACAGATTATCAAATGATCTATTAATAACAATGCAAATACATTTTATTCTGACTCTGTTAAGTTGATTTTTTAAAATAAAAATGAAAATTGAAAAATAGTTATTAACCTATTTACTATTATATATTATGTTCGACAAACACTTTTACTTCTAGTGGTTACGGTTAGTATTGGGAAAGGGTAATATGGTCCTAGGTAATTTGCCTAGACCAGCGCAGCTATATATATCCTGTTCCAGTGTCGTTCTCTAGGTGGCAGTAATGATCGGTGTTTGGGACTGTCAATCACCAAAGGAAATAATAACATATGTAGGTCTACAGTTCATTGTAAAAGTAAGTTGTTTGCTAAATCATTGCATTGCCTCACCTATTTAGATTTGTGGTGTTATGTTATTTGAATACTGTGGAGGAACATGACTATAGAAAAATCTTGCTAGATTTATGAAAATCTAACAAGAATTTGAAGAATCGCTCAGTTTAGTCTATTGGTCTTTCAGCATTATTACAGGTTCTTCAAACACTGAATTACTTTGCTGTTACAATTAAAAACATTGATCTTGAACAAATAAGACAATTTCCAACTGCTGTTGTGACATATATTGCATTATTTTATGACTGGTTATGACACCTACATAAGAGTGTCAAAACCCGCAAAACCTACCACACAAGGCAAAACATTCCATTACACCATAGCCTACTTGTCAACAGTATGGTTATGTTATATAACATTTTCTGAAATTGCCCATATTAAATTATCATTGTCAGACATACAACTACCCCAATGCTCTGTTGCTGATGACTGGAATGAATGCAGGAGGAGATTTCAGGAGCAGGACAAGACACCCTCTTTTTGACTGATGACTGACATAAGGGCATGATAGGCCTATCTGGCTTATATGATTATGATGTTCATAATGCTTCTTGGCAGTGTCATAAAGTGTATTTTCTTAGTCCAAGTAAAGTGACACAGGATGGTCATAATGCTTCTTGACAGTCATAAAGTGTATTTTCTACAAGTTATTTCAAACATTATGAAAGAAAACATGACTGTATACAATTCATTACAACCAGGCAAGTGGACAGATAAGGCTCTACCTGTGCAGAGCACATGCCCCTTTGCCCTTCCAGTTTCCAAAGTGCCCTATTTGTTGATGGTATAATTTCCCTTGATTGTTGACCAATGACCAGTCATCAGCATTGGTGCGCAAAGGCAGATGCCTTATCCAAATTAGAACAGAAATAACGTGTTTCATTTCCTCCTGTATTGCCTGACAAAAACAGAGTAGGTCTAAATTTATCATACATAAATACAGTTTAGCAATCAACTGACTCATCTTTGCCAGAACAATAGGATCCTGTCAATTTGATTGATCATTTTCATATTTCAGATAGGCCTAGTTTGGGTGGCTACTGGCTATATTTCTAAGATAAGCAGCTGTAATACTATGGGACCAAGATGTAACAAAATCTGGTGAATTTATTACATATTTGTGAGGAAGAACAAGGCTACTCGGCTGGCAATGAGCACTCTGCAGGCAGGCTGCCCTCCAAAGTGATGGCGCGGTGCAGACAGAACATGCTTTCCATCCAATCCTGCAACCTCCGCTACAAGTAGGCTGTATGATTCTGCTTCCTCTGGACTCCAGAGAAGTGACATGTTATATCCATAGATGATATTGGCTGCTTACAAGAATGACTTTCAGCTCCAAATGCAGCTGTAAAACGCAGTTATTTCTGTAGCCTATCTTGCATTTTGAAAATGCATCACTGTTTATGGCTGTAATGACAGGCTACATTTGCGCAACGATTATGTGCGCATGTTCGCGCGTTCACGTGCGTGCGCGGGGGTCGCACGTTTTCTACCACTCCTTTTTGGGGGTCGCGGTTCAAAACGTTTGAAAACCACTGGGATACATGATAGTGGCATCAAATGGATTTGGGTTGGGTATAGTAATGGTACAGTGTTTCTTACAATCTTCTATTTTGACTGGAATTGTGTTGGCAATTGTTAATAAGTGCAGCATTTATTCCAGTTCAAAATAGTTTAAAAAAATACTCAGATAGGGCTGCTTTCCCCTGTTCTTGTATTAATTGCTCAATGAGTCAGCTGTTATGACATTAAGACATGGTTATGACCATGTCATAAGGTGTTATGACGCTGGATGTCAAATAAAGTGTTACCCTTTGTGTTTACATCATTAAGCCTTTATGTATGTGTTATAAATTACCAAAGGGGTCTGACTTTAAAGTAAGTACTGCATGATGCAACATAGAGTATTTATGAATGTGTTATGAATGACCGAATGTGTCTGACTTCAAACTTAGTATTACATTACACTACATAAAGTGTCATTAAATAGGTTATTAATGTTCTGCTGATTTATGAAGGTTTTCTCACAATCCACAGGTTACCGTAGGGTGTGAGAGGTATTTAAATGGTTTGATGGACCAGCAAAGCTTGCGTTTGTGTGTGTGTCAGAGCCAAGATGATTTGGAGTAGTCCAACCTGAGACTACCGCACCAGGTATTCCTCTTCTGTTCCCATGCTGGAGACCAGGGCTTGATTACAACCTGTTACAATGGTGCCAACATTTTGTGGCTGATCTTTCAGCGGGGGAGTGGGTGAATGTGTCAAAGACCTTACTGGGTCCAACACCGCACGGTATGGCTCATTGTATTGTTGTGTGCATATTTGTGTACTGAGGATTTTGTCATTTGGTTCCAGAAAAAATACACTTTAAATGTCCTTATGTTGGGGGCTTTCATCAAGGTAAGAATGCATGTTTCTCCAGGAGAATATAATTTGCAAATACCCTAATACCCTATCATTTTCACTCTCACAGACACATTTTGTTGACATCTGGAACATCTGACACCAAAATAAGGTGACAATTTGAACATTTCAAATATTTTACAACAATATATTTAATACTAGTAAATGTTTGTGCTGAATACTCAATGTTGGACTGCTCTGCATTAAGTGCTGCCCTGAAAACATGGACCATGACAGTATTGGACAAACCCTACTTCAGCCTGGTTGTCTACTTTGTCAGCTTTCGTCCAGATACATTTGAAATTGCCTCAGTAGCAGTACTTGAAAGGGCAGTAACCAACCAGGAGAAAGGTGTCATGACATGGGGAGGGTTACTGGGTTAGATTCAACCTGCAAACTAACACCTTATCTTAACTTTTCGTCCTGAGGACTACTTAACACTGTGGCTGTCATCAGCAATATAACATGCAGTGGAGGCTGGTGGGAGGAGCTGTATGAGGACGGGCTCATTGTAATGGCTGGAATATAATTTATGGAACGGAGTCAAACGTGGTTTCCATATCTTTTATGTGTTTGATACTGTTCCATTTATTCCATTCCAGTCTTTACAATGACCCTGTCCTCCTATAGCTCCTCCCACCAGCCTCCACGGATAACATGGCATAAGCTCTCACTAGTCATGATAGCTTAAGACAGACAGTTGTAGAAAAGTGTTACCACACACAATATATGAACATACACCACATATCAACTGTTGACAATGCACACCAGAAAATCATGGTGCGCTCAATCTGATTTAGACCGTGTAATGTTTAAATTTAAACCATGCCCATTTAGGGCGTATGGCAAAATAAATGCAAGGCTGACTATTCTTTCAGGGTTTTTTCTTTACTTTATTCAATTTCTCTGATAGGGGCAATGCACATGAATCAACAATGTTGTACATGTGCCAGAATTAGCCAATTATACAAACGGCTCATTCATTTGGTCATGGTGATATAGCCATTGTATGACTGGCCCAACGATACATTACATACATCCACAATGATCTCTTACACTGACCGTCATGTGACCATGTTCTTAGTGGGTCCTGTGTCAAAGGTAACAGCAGTTTGTGTGCTGTACTCTAACTTCCCATCTACCGCCTGAGCTTGTTACTAACAGAGTCGTCAGTCATTTGCTAGCCCATTTCTGTCATAGTTGGTTAGAGGTTAGCTAGGATTACAGCAGGGAAGGGAGGGAGTCGGAGAGAGAGATGTAGACTGACAAAGAGGCATACAGACATATACCCCTTTCATACACAGAACAAAATCCCACTAATTTACAATGTGTGCATTTTTATACAAGCTTTTGTGTATATCTGAGTGGGGTAGAGGGTAAAAAAACAACATGGAAAATAAAAGCCACCTAAAGACCTAGTCATGATTCCTGCATTTTCACAGACCCTCTAACCAAAATACAGGTATCCGGACTGTGTGAATGGTTCCCTGCTTTTTTGCAGGTACATTCATTAACACTTCCATTGTTTAACACCTACCTATTTGAACTGCAAACAGACCCCAATGGTTTAACAACACCCCCGCCCCTCCCACTTTGCCAGTTAACCACTAGTATGTATAAATAAGTAGCAAATAAGGGGCTGTTTGAAAGGGGTCACATAAACATAGCCTTATATATTATAATTTTTTACTGGTAGCTAACATACCACATCTTCTGTCTGAAATGGGTAATAGAGAGAAGAGAGAGGGAGGAGAGGGAGAGAGGTGAAAGAGTGCAGAGAGAGAAGAGGGAGAGAGAGGGAGAGAGAGAGAGAGAGACATTACATTACATTTACATTTACGTCATTTAGCAGACGCTCTTATCCAGAGCGAGAAAGAAAGAAAGAAAGAAAGAAAGAGAGAGAGAGAGAGAGAGAGAGTAATACTAGGTGTCCTACTGGGGCCTGATTGGTCTAAATTTACAGCCTTGCACTAATACTGAGAAAAAGAGGAATGAGGAGATGGCTAGATTTCACAGAACCATAGTAACTAACAATATTACTGGAAAGCATCAGTTGGCTTCACCTTTGCACTATTTTTAAGGAGCTTTGCAGACCTTTTCAGTGCTGACTGCAGAAAAAAATCTACACAGAACATCAATCTGTGTTATAAGGTGTTATAAGATTATAAAATGTATTATAAAGGCTTGGATCAAACACCAAATACTTAACTTGTCAAATACTTTACTTGCGTTCAATGGAACCTATACAATGGAACCAATAGAATAGTCTTTGTCACAAATGCAAACTCCAAGCTAAATAAAGCACACATACACATTTGCACAGGTCTGTAAGCTGTCACAACTTGTTCCCAAATATTCAAACAACATATTCTATAGTAATGTAATGAGATTTATAATGTGCTGTTAGCGGGGCCATGGTGCAAGGGTTTCATGCATATTGAAACTTTTATCAATTTGTATGCATTACAAAAAAGATAAAGAAATTAATCTGTCTTTTATGCAGAGGTCATTCAAAGATATCAGTGCCACTTCCCCGTCATGAAAATAGTTACATGACGCCCAGCAACTTTATCACATATTTATTGGAATCTCATGGTCCACAGCCCTTGTTTGTAGCCAGGTAGAAGTGCATAATCTGTAATATCAATGGATTACAGATAAAACCCTTTTGACTGGTGAAGGGGTGAATCCAATCCGGGTGTCGTTTCACTATGTGTACTGAAAACCAACAATCACCTCAACCCTTAATTATTTCTGACCCCATGACACATGCCACAGTGTAGGGTAATTGGTAGATCGCCCTGATATGGAACCTGTAGAAATAAGCGGAATAAATGGTAGTGTTGGTTCTACGGTGCAATCAAATACATGACCTCATTACTGTATATCTAACTAATTCTTTACGTGCTTTCCATTGAAGAGGATTCAACTACTTTAAAAAAATTCTGCACATTGCAACTAGGATCTTAATTCCTGATCGTTTAGGTTTTCACTTGTATTCCCTCTTGACTAGGAGATCAAGGTGCATTGTCTCGTTAACACCAGAGATTGAATTGCATAGAATAGATGTGTTTGCACAAGATTTCTCCACTAACACGACCTATAAAGTAATTGTTGCATTGGCGCCATCTAGAATATCAATATTGGGCCATAACTGTGTGTGCATCAAGGTACAAGGTTTGTTTGTTAAATGTCATTGGCATTCCTTGCAGCGAATTGGCATTTCAAGCAACAAATCTTGTGTTACTTCATCGAGCGGTAATTGTCTCAACTCAGACAAATCTTGCTGCGAGTACATCTGAATCTATATAATGCTGTAATACAGGAATTACTGCAGCAGCACTCCCCCAAACTTCTTGTTCCCATCCAACCCAATCTTTAACTACACCCCGATCTTGTGGGATCTGTGAAATCTCTCCCTCGGAGCCACAAGTCAGCTAACTCCCTGTGGCTGAGAAAAGACAATCAACTCTCAAGGTACAGTAGAATTCTCCCTTTATCTACCACAACTGGAAAGGCTTGCCATTTATGCCCAAATGCATTCTGCAAATCCACTGGCATGTTCACATCCAAATCTCTATTTTAACCCTCAATCGATCCCTCGATTTCTTGATCAATTTTCTGCTTGTCTTTTCTGTGTCACTTCTGACGCACGTTCTGGTTGGACTGCTCTAATTCCTTAACGAGATTTCAGATTCCCCGGATATCCAATTGGATCCTGATTAACTGGGCTCAACTCATTAGCTCTGATAACTGAATTCAACCCCCATCAACCTCAAGCCCTGCCAATCTCTCAGAAACCCGACAAAATTCAACCGCCCCACCAATACAGTCAGACAATAATACTCTGATGTCTGGTAATCTCTGACTGCTGCATAAGATGACCAGAAATGAAGGCTGCCATTGATAGACTGGAGAAGAATCCAGACACCACTCATTAGTGATGTGTAAAGTAGGCCTACCATGCAGATTTTTCTGAGCCACTACAGGTCAGCAAAATCAAATACCCTCTCCTCGCAGACGTTAACACTATTATACTGTTGAATCATGAGGAACTGAATGAGGAAGACATGAAATGTGTTTCTCTACCAGCTTTATGTAGTAGCCATTGATATTATGTAACAAATTATACGTTCTCACCGTCAGTGCCACTCTTGCATCTCTCTACTGGATTGTATCTCAAACCCCTCAGTGTCTCTCTATTTACTCTTATTCTCACATTTACACCTCCACCTGTCCCTCTCTCCCTTCATTCTTCCTTCTCTCTTTACCTGCTCTTGTCTTTTGACCTCATAACCTGGTTTTCTACTCCAATCGGTTTACCTACCTCCTCTTGCCATGCTCTATGCTCTCTCTCTCTCCTCCTCTCTCTCTCCTTCCCTCTCTCTATTTCTATCTTCGGACTTATCCCTTCATCCCTGATCTCCTTCATCCCCTCCAATCCTCATCTGTTCCCCACAGGAGGACAGGAGAGAGAAAGAGAGAGTTTTCACAGGTTGCCTGCAACCAGTCTGTGGGTGAAAGCGTAAGAGGAAAGAGAGAAAGAGAAGGATAGGAGGGCTGACTTGAGGATTGTGGGACATAAAAAGCTGCTCCAAAGGACTACTGAGGCAGAAAAGCCAAAGAAAAAGAAGAAGGACCACATTTTGTGTGGAAAGGTGAGTGATTTTGGGCCACTTTGGTAGCAAATTCTTCTGGGCACATACGTGGAACTACACGGAACTACATTGACTCCTCTGATGATTACGAACATGGACCCATATCATCATGGACACTATCTCTGTATTCTCATCCATGATAAGATTTCACAGTTGAAAGATTGGAACTTCATCTGATTTGCAGTACGGGCCAATGGATTGATTATGAGCGAAATAAACGACTCAAGGGTTGGTCAATGACAAGAAGTAGTAAATGGAGTTCTCAGCGGTGCTCATTTCCATCTGATAATGAATTCTAATGGCATGCATGCAACAAGTGTGCCGTAGTCCAAGGAAAACTTGTTGACTGCTGTCTTTGCAAGTGAGAAAGAGAGAGAGGGAGAGAGAGAGAGAGAGAGAACTGGTAGGATGGGTGAAAGAGAGAGAGAGAGGCAGAGAGAATAGGTTTTTTATGGCGGTCACCAGTAGGTAATGACAGTGACGTCATTGAGTGCTTTTCTTCTCAGAATCCGTTTAATTTATTGGGTAACAACAGCAACGGCATTATCAGCATTATCATGAAGGTTGCAAAACCTCCCTGATTGATTCTAGAGATCCAGTAAAAGAGGAACAACATAAAAAAATCACGAGTGAAAGCAGCAAACTTCAGAACTTGTGCATAACTTTATATCACATTTTTGCAGGTGGCAATGTCTTACAGATATTGATTTTATGCATTGAAGTCTTCTTTAATTCTGCAGACGTGCTAATATAATGGTGCACGTCTAGAGTACTTCTATCTAGACAAACACCACTCTTTCTCTCTTCTCCCCTCTCTCGCTCCCCCTTTCTGATCCAGTGGTAAAGGACAGTCAGTAATCGGATGACAGGAGATTTGACTGGAAAAGCCTACCTTAAGATCCTCTGCTGGGGCTTTAAAGCTCTCTTCCCACTGGGCACAGACGTAATTTCGTCTAGTTTTGATTTACATTTGATTGAGTTGTCAACTAATGTGAATTCAACATGAAATCAACTAGAACAGTGTCATTGGATTTAGGTTAAAAATTGGGTGAAAAAAAGTAAAGAAAATCAGAAATTCCTTTACATTGATGACTTTTTCCATGTTGATTCAACGTCATCGCATTGATTTTTTGTCGTTGAAATGACATGGAAACAACGTTGATTCAACCAGTTTGTGCTCAGTAAGTTGTGCCCACCCCTCCTCGCCCTCTGTCTCCCTGGCTCTCATCATGGGTCAAACAACCTACTGAACAGAGTAGCCTATGCTTTGTTCAACGCGTGAACAATTGTTTCTGTGAAAGTAATACCCTTTGTTAATACTGTATTTGCAGGGATGTGTGCTGTAGTAGTTGGATTAGTTTTTTTTCGAGATTTGTTGTTAACCTTTAAACGGTTTAGAAAGTGGTGTGTGTTGGTAATTGGCCTCCAATTATGAAAACGTCAGCATCCAATTAAAGAGTATTAGGGTCATAAAGTAATTACCTCTTAGTCATGAAATATTCTCTCTTAAAAGGCATTGAAAGTCAGAGTGAAGGGTGAGAAAATAAGGTTAATGGTCAATTGTGTCTTAAACTTGTTTTAATTCTAACACAAAAGAAGAAGAATTTAAGTAATGAATAGGAAAATAAAAGTAAAAAAGTAAAGTTGTAAAGTTGTGATAAATGAGGCAATCTAAGTAAAAATGGCAAGTACTCTCGAAAGACAGACAACACTTCCATAATGAACTATAAAAAAACAAAATGGCTGTCTATGTTACAGATAAAATGGCCAGTAATTTGCCTTATTCTTCAGATAGGTGAAGGTAGAGCTTGGATATGTCACTAATTCTGCATATTAGACTTCTAGCACAGAGGATGTGGGATTATACCTCATACCATACTCAAGAAGGCCAATCTAGGCTCTTGCACCAGACTAGATGACGAAGCACCTGAGTGGTTTCGTTTAGGGAGACAGGGGCCCTGGGGGGGTTACTGGAGCAATGAGTCCAGTTATGTTCTCCTCAAACAGGTGGCCACTGTTTATACAGTGGGGAGAACAAGTATTTGATACACTGCCAATTTTGCAGGTTTTCCTACTTACAAAGCATGTAGAGGTCTGTACTTTTTATCATAGGTACACTTCAACTGTGAGAGACGGAATCTAAAACAAAAATCCAGAAAATCACATTGTATGATTTTTAAGTAATTAATTTGCATTTTATTGCATGACATAAGTATTTGATACATCAGAAAAGCAGAACTTAATATTTGGTACAGAAACCTTTGTTTGCAATTACAGAGATCATAAGTTTCCTGTAGGTCTTGACCAGGTTTGCACACACTGCATACAGACCTTCTCCAGATCCTTCAGGTTTCGGGGCTGTCGCTGGGCAATACGGACTTTCAGCTCCCTCCAAAGATTTTCTATTGGGTTCAGGTCTGGAGACTGGCTAGGCCACTCCAGGACCTTGAGATGCTTCTTACGGAGCCACTCCTTAGTTGCCCTGGCTGTGTGTTTCGGGTCGTTGTCATGCTGGAAGACCCAGCCACGACCCATCTTCAATGCTCTTACTGAGGGAAGGAGGTTGTTGGCCAAGATCTCGCAATACATGGCCCCATCCATCCTCCCCGCAATACGGTGCAGTCGTCCTGTCCCCTTTGCAGAAAAGAATCCCCAAAGAATGACCTTCTCCCATTCCTCCTCTGGATCATCCAGATGGTCATTGGCAAACTTCAGACGGGCCTGGACATGCGCTGGCTTGAGCAGGGGGACCTTGCGTGCGCTGCAGGATTTTAATCCATGACGGCGTAGTGTGTTACTAATGGTTTTCTTTGAGACTGTGGTCCCAGCTCTCTTCAGGTCATTGACCAGGTCCTGCCGTGTAGTTCTGGGCTGATCCCTCACTTTCCTCATGATCATTGATGCCCCACGAGGTGAGATCTTGCATGGAGCCCCAGACCGAGGGTGATTGACTTTCATCTTGAACTTCTTCCATTTTCTAATAATTGCGCCAACAGTTGTTGCCTTCTCACCAAGCTGCTTGCATATTGTCCTGTAGCCCATCCCAGCCTTGTGCAGGTCTACAATTTTATCCCTGATGTCCTTACACAGCTCTCTGGTCTTGGCCATTGTGGAGAGGTTGGAGTCTGTTTGATTGAGTGTGTGGACAGGTGTCTTTTATACAGGTAACGAGTTCAAACAGGTGCAGTTAATACAGGTAATGAGTGGAGAACAGGAGGGCTTCTTAAAGAAAAACTAACAGGTCTGTGAGAGACGGAATTCTTACTGGTAGGTAGGTGATCAAATACTTATGTCATGCAATAAAATGCAAATGTATTACTTAAAAATCATACAATGTGATTTTCTGGATTTTTGTTTTAGATTCCGTCTCTCACAGTTGAAGTGTACCTATGATTAAAATTACAGACCTCTACATGCTTTGTAAGTAGGAAAACCTGCAAAATCGGCAGTGTATCAAATACTTGTTCTCCCCACTGTATCTACTGCACATATTTGAGAACATGAATTCTTAGTTCTATTTAAGGTCTTCATTATATTATTGAGTTCTACATTATATACATTTTACAATGAGGACAGCATTTTTGCCAAGCCTTGATCTGTATAAATATGTATGCAATCAAATAAGTTCTAAACAGAAAACATTATTTCATTTTCTCTTTCTCCCTTTCTTCTAGTCTGCTAGTTTTTTTCTCCAGCGGTAACAGCCCCTATCAACCGTTGCCATGGGTGAAATGGACACGTTGAAAAAGGAGGCTGATGGTCTCAAGGCACAGATTGAAGTGAGTCTTGCTATCACAGCATGGCAATCTGTAGGTACTGTACATTAATGATTGTGCATTATTGGTGCTATGATTCCTAGTTATTTATCCGATGATGAGATATTTTTTGACTGGGGGTGATATTCAATATCACCCCCAGTCAAAAAAGATCTCATCATCGGATAAATAACTAGGAATCATAGCACCAATAATGCACAATCATTAATGTACAGTACCTACAGAGTTGGTAACGTATAGCATACATTTCGTTTCCTCCACATACCAAAACTGACATTGAGCTAAAGTTATACTAAGACATTGTAAGCAGTGTCTGGTTCCTGAAAAATGAAAATACAACAGAAGTATGGAGAACATTCCAAACAATTTATGCTTATTTTTCTACAAATATTTGACTCTTCACTTAACTTATTCCTCTCCTACCTGTAAATCCCCTTCCCACCACTAGGCAGCCCGCAAGGCGGTCAATGACACCACCATGGCCGCTGTAGCATCTGGTGTGGCGGCTGCACCCCGTGTCCAGCTGAAGAACAGAAAGACGCTGAAGGGCCACTTGGCCAAAATCTACGGCTTGCACTGGTCCGCTGATAACAGGTGAGAAGGCGTTCTTGTCCAGATAGCTGAGAATGGGAATAGCGTCAGGGACAGCCCAGCTCACCATAGACACCCCGTCACTACCACTAGCCAGTGTGATATAGGGACTAATGAACAACATAGAGAAGGTCTACCTTGAGTAAGATAGAGAAGGTTGATACAAGGGGTTGTCTGATGCGCCACTCAAACCAAATGGACTCTGACATCGAAAAGTCCCATTGTGTAATGTGTCCACAATGACATGCAGGTGTTATGGGGTTCAATGAAAAGGCTTTTGAAAGGCCTTCATTGTTTCAAATGTTGCATTGTAGCAAGTATTAAGCCAGATTCATACTGGACCTCGTGCCTAAACCCTGTTCACACAGAATTTGATACACTGACTGACCACTTGTTTAACTTTATTTTTCTCTCCAACAGGCACATGGTGAGTGCCTCACAGGATGGCAAGCTTCTTATTTGGGACACCTACACTGGCAATAAGGTAAGGAGGGATCACTAATCAGTCATCATCTTCACATCTCTAACTGTTTTCATAATAATGCATAGGATTTATATGGAGAGTTTTCCACTTGGTTTGCAAATGCATGGAGTAAATCCCTCCTTCAACCACCGATGTGTAGAAGCAGTAACCACTTTTCTTTCAGATTGTCTTGACTTTGACTACACACTACACACTCTAGGAATGTATTTATATGATAAAAGTCAGCTAGTTTGGTATCTTAAGTCTTCTAACCTTGAGACAAAGCGAACTAGAAAGTGAGTGGTTAAGCATTCTTGTCCCTGCCCTCCAGGTTTATGCCATCCCCCTCAAGTCCTCCTGGGTAATGAGTTGCTCCATGGCCCCTTCTGGCAATCTGGTGGCCAGCGGAGGCCTGGATAACATGTGCACCGTCGTCAACATCAAGGCTGCCAGCCCAAAGACCCTCAGGGAGCTGGATGCACATGAAGGTAGGTTTCATAGTACACTGTCTGCTTCACCCAAGTTATCATCAACTCCGATACCAACTGGGTTACGGTCAACTCCGTGACCAACTGGGTTATGGTCAACTCGTGACCAACTGGGTTATGGTCAACTCTGTGACCAACTACAAGAGAATTCATTACAATCGTGTTCATAAATTGGATGAGCTACAAATATGTAGGAAATAAGAAGAACAAACGATAACATCTCTATCTTTCTCCTTCCATCTCAGGCTACCTTTCTCATAGCCGCTTCCTGAGCGACACTGAGCTCCTCACTGCATCCGGTGACACCACTTGTTGCCTGTGGGATCTGGAGACTGGAAAGCAGAAGGTGATCTACAAGAGCCACGTGGGTGACTGTATGTGCCTGGCCGTGTCTCCAGACCAGAACACTTTCATCTCAGGGGCCTGTGACTCCACCGCCAAGCTGTGGGACATAAGAGATGGTGGCTGCAAGCAGACCTTCATCGGCCACACAAGTGACATTAACGCCATTGCGGTGAGCACATAAGACACAGCCCTGAGTTTTTCCTGGTCAGAATGACTCTGAATTATCTATATATATTGTAGTGACCTTAACCCAACAACTAGCGACCTTGTCAAGGTGTTGGGTTGCAGTCACAAGATTCTGGGTTCAAACTCCGGTTGAGACTACCCCCTGACTTCAATATAAGCCAAGCAGGAGCAGAGTGCGATCCAAAATCTAAACATAATTTAGCTACACAACACCAAATCTGTACTCTGCTAACTCAGTCAACTCACCGGGCAAACTAACCTTCAAGCTCAATAAACAAAACAAAACAAAACAAAACATACTGAAATGGCCTTCTCCTCTTTTCTTCATACCCCAGTTCTACCCTAGTGGCACTGCAGTTATCACAGGTTCCGATGACTGCACCCTCAAGATGTACGACCTCCGTGCTGACCAGGAGGTCAATGGCTACCAGGACGCTGCATTGAATGCTGGCGTCACGTCAGTCTCCCTCTCCAGCTCAGGACGCCTCATCTTCGCTGGCTACGACAACTTTAACTGCAACATCTGGGATTCTCTGAAGGCCGAGAAAGTCGGTGAGTAAAAGTGTGAGAGAAATGTGTGAGAGAGAGGGGAGAGGACTGAGGGGATGGGTGAAAAGGAGTGGGTAGAGACAGAGACAAACAAAGAGAGAACAGTCAATGTAAAGAGAGGGAGGCAGAATAGGAGATAGATGGCATGAGTGAAAAATCTGCCGATGTGCCCTTGAGCAAGGCACGTAACCCTAATTGCTCCTGTAAGTCGCTCTGGATAGGAGCATCTGCTAAATGACTAAAATGTCAATGTAAATAAGTGGGTGGTTTAAACAGAGGCAATAAAAGGGAGAAAACATATAGTCAAAGAAGTCTGGATGAGAGGCAGTCAATCAAAGAAACATGGGTAAAAAGGGAATAGAAACTAGAACTGCATCATTTGCATCAGTGTGGATGACTATCTTCTTCTTCTTCTTCTCTCATCTCTCTCTCTCTCTCTCTCTCTCTCTCTCTCTCTCTCTCTCTCTCTCTCTCTCTCTCTCTCTCTCTCTCTCTCTCTCAGGTGTTCTGTCTGGCCATGACAACAGAGTGAGCTGCATTGGGGTGCCAGACGATGGATTGGGTGTCTGCACAGGATCCTGGGATAGCTTCCTAAAGATCTGGAACTGAGCTGATCCTCCAGAGGCGACATTGGGAAAGAGAGAGGGGGAGAGGGAGAGGGGGGATGGATGGAGCTAGAGGAGGAGAGGAGAAGGGAAATCCTGAGAAATAAGGATGCTCATTTTGGGATTGGGGAGATATCAGGCGGAGGATGTTTGTTGTACCAGTTCACATAATTTCTTCCCTTCTCTCTCTCCCTCCTTGTCATATATGTATGCAATGTGAGAGGTGGTGAATGGGACTTCATAGAACATACTGTATAAATGGCATTGACAACAGAACAAGATGCACCCCCACTACACGTACACACGAGAGTTTGAAAGTTATTGTTGAGACTATCAACATTGAGACAATGACAAACACCAAAAAATAGGATTATTTGAAATAATAAATGAATTAATGAAGAAAATATGCTCTACTTGTATCTAAGGTGAGAGTGACAATTACACATATAGATTTCTGACAATAAAAACGTGAAATAAATACAGAAATATAATGAACATAAATAAAGATTTAGTATTACAGATCTATTTGAATTGTTTTGAGATCTTTGATGTATAAAGCCCACATTTATTAGCTGAAAGGTGATATGTACATTTATTTACATTTATGTCATTTATTAGAGTGCAGAGTACAGTGTCGTTTGGTCACACACATCCAATGTATGTGTGCCACAAGATTTGGCTATTGCCATTTTGGGCCTACAATGATACATGCTAACCAGCAGCACCCTCTGACTTTGCCCCAAAATGGCTGCCGTCACCTATCACCAGGCAAATATGTGATGTAAAACTAAATGAAACCAAGTTCAATCACGTTCAATCACATACATCCGAGTTTGTCTATCTCTCTACTTTGAGTGTCCAGCACTCCTGAATCCTACTTCAGGGAAAAGGTTATTGAGGAGTTACATATCAGATACGAATATATTCCCTCCCCAACTGCATTTTCTATAAAAATGCTATGTTTGTTGAAAAACCTTTCTAATAAACATATAACTCTGCATTAACATCATGTCTGTGTATTTGTGCTTTGACAGTCAACCATTTAGAAAAAAGTTTGGCCAGGCTAATGTATACAGTTGTATTTCATATACAAACCTCTTTCTGGAGGACATTATTAAATGTTTTAGTTACAGTGGTCTTTGATACACTGCCGATTTTGCAGGTTTTCCTACTTACAAAGTATGTAGAGGTCTGTCATTTTTATCATAGGTACACTTCAACTGTGAGACACGGAATCTAAAACAAAAATCCAGAAAATCACATTGTATGATTTTTAAGTAATTAATTTGCATTTTATTGCATGACATAAGTATTTGATCACCTACCAACCAGTAAGAATTCCGGTTCTCACAGACCTGTTAGTTTTCTTTAAGAAGCCCTCCTGTTCTCCACTCATTACCTGTATTAGCTGCACCTGTTTGAACTCGTTACCTGTATAAAAGACACCTGTCCACACACTCAATCAAACAGACTCCAACCTCTCTACAATGGCCAAGACCAGATAGCTGTGTAAGGACATCAGGGATAAAATTGTAGACCTGCACAAGGCTGGGATGGGCTACAGGACAATAGGCAAGCAGCTTGGTGAGAAGGCAACAACTGTTGGCGCAATTATTAGAAAATGGAAGAAGTTCAAGATGACGGTCAATCACCCTCGGTCTGGGGCTCCATACAAGATCTCACCTCGTGGGGCATCAATGATCATGAGGAAGGTGAGGGATCAGCCCAGAACTACACGACAGGACCTGGTCAATGACCTGAAGAGAGCTGGGACCACAGTCTCAAAGAAAACCATTAGTAACACACTACGCCGTCATGGATTAAAATCCTGCAGCGCACGCAAGGTCCCCCTGCTCAAGCCAGCACATGTCCAGGCCCGTCTGAAGTTTGCCAATGACCATCTGGATGATCCAGAGGAGGAATGGGAGAAGGTCATGTGGTCTGATGAGACAAAAATATAGCTTTTTGGTCTAAACCACTCACCGTGTTTGGAGGAAGAAGAAGGATGAGTACAACCCCAAGAACACCATCCCAACCGTGAAGCATGGAGGTGGAAACATAATTCTTTGGGGATGCTTTTCTGCAAAGGGGACAGGACGACTGCACCGTATTGAGGGGAGGATGGATGGGGCCATGTATCGCGAGATCTTGACCAACAACCTCCTTCCCTCAGTAAGAGCATTGAAGATGGGTCGTGACTGGGTCTTCCAGCATGACAACGACCCGAAACACACAGCCAGGGCAACTAAGGAGTAGCTCCGTAAGAAGCATCTCAAGGTCCTGGAGTGGCCTAGCCAGTCTCCAGACCTGAACCCAATAGAAAATCTTTGGAGGGAGCTGAAAGTCCGTATTGCCCAGCGACAGCCCCGAAACCTGAATGATCTGGAGAAGGTCTGTATGGAGGAGTGTGCCAAAATCCGTGCTGCAGTGTGTGCAAACCTGGTCAAGACCTACAGGAAACGTATGATCTCTGTAATTGCAAACAAAGGTTTCTGTACCAAATATAAAGTTCTGCATTTCTGATGTATCAAATACTTATGTCATGCAATAAAATACAAATTAATTACTTAAAAATCATACAATGTGATTTTCTGGATTTTTGTTTTAGATTCCGTCTCTCACAGTTGAAGTGTACCTATGATAAAAATTACAGACCTCTACATGCTTTGTAAGTAGGAAAACCTGCAATATCGGCAGTGTATCAAATACTTGTTCTCCCCACTGTATATATTTTTGTTGTTTCTGAAGGATTCACACCATGCTGCATTGTTGACAATATGACCGGGGGATGCAGATTACCGGTTGATTTGAGCATGGCACGCCTCCCTCACTTGCTTCGCCCGGTCACGTGATGGACCATAGTCCGGTTCAACCCGGGGCAGCTTAATCGAATCCCCTCACTATTGTTGTAAGAGTCGAATGGGGTGGTAGCTTAGATAAAAGGTGGTGTGTGTGCAAACTGTAGGGGTGCCCATGTTGCTGGGGATCAGAAGTGTCTGGTGCGAGAGAGGCAGGTTGAGGTTCCCAGGGTCAGAGTTGTGGGGAAAAGGTGTCGTATGCTGAGGCAGTGAAGAAAGGTAGTGTCCCATCCTCCCAGGCCGTGGGCCTGGTGAAGGATTAGATAGGGTTAAATCAGTGGAATAGTATTTTTTTTAATGATTGTAGATAAAGTAGTTGGCAGGGTGCTTTTTTTTTTCTATCACAAAGTAGAATGGATTTATTCTCCGGTCCAGTTGGTGGCGGTAATGCAACATTATATTGGTTGCCAACCGCCGTTAAACCCCACCGCAGAAGAAGAAGAAGACTGGGAGAAGACTGCTTCTGCTTGGCCACTGTTTGTAGCAAGCACATCACCTCCTAGTGTCGTCGTTTTTCCGGTATCGTCTACCGCTCAGCCATCATGTCGTCCAGAACATTTTTCGTAGGAGGAAACTGGAAGATGAACGGTGACAAGAAGAGCCTGGGCGACCTTATAACGACCCTGAACACTGCGAGCCTCAACGATGAAACCGGTAACCGGCATTCGATTTTTGTCTCTCAAAATATATTCAGTCTTAAATGTGCCCTAATACGTTGTTGACATTACATTCTTATTGATACCAATGTTCATGTTAACATGAAACTAGTAAATGTGAAGGTGTTTTTAGCACTAAACAGATGAATGATGCAGATGATTGCGTCAAACGACACAAAACAACACCATGACGTTGAAGTAATCTTTTGACCGTTATGCGGAATCCTTGGGACGGCCCTACCCTTGACCTAACCTTAACCCTTACCCTAACCAGTGGCGATTTTTAGCATGTAAATCTTGGTGGGGCAAAAAATAAACATATGTGGGATGCATGCCAGCAAAGCCACTACACAACACTAAACAATACATTAATTGCACTATAACGGTGACAAACGGTGCCCACAAACTGTTAGGGCCTACATGTGGTCCTCTGTAGCTCAGCTGGTAGAGCACGGCGCTTGTAACGCCAAGGTAGTGGGTTCGATCCCCGGGACCACCCATACACAAAAAAAAAAAATGTATGCACGCATGACTGTAAGTCGCTTTGGATAAAAGCGTCTGCTAAATGGCATATTATTATTATTATTATTACATAAAGCTGTCCCAACAGCAGTCTCAACACCTTACCACTGCTACACCTGGCTATCAGCGGAGCCTTGTCTGATAGCGAAACAGTTCATTCAGCCTAATTTACTGCCTTAAAAAAAAACATAGCTGATATGGCTGACTTGCTTAAACAAATGTGGCTTCAACTGAAAATTGAGATGTACAAACTATGGCATAAGGAGATGACAAGCGGATAAGAGGCAATTAATGAGCGAGCTAGGACGGACGTAGTCAATATAACTATTTGTTCAGCACTTTTGAAATGTACATCGACAGAATTCAGAACATGGGCCGTTCTTACAGCGTTCTCCCTGTACACCAAGTCAGAACCGTAGGATAAATAAAGGGGGCATTTAAGCAGACAATGAAACCTCTTAAAATATTCGATGATTACATTTCTCTAAAACAGGTTATAGGCTCCATGTGCACCACCAAGTCAGAACAGTAGGCTCACTTGAACAGGATGGTGGCACGGCGGTCCATCGTGGGCACATTTTGTCATCAAAGTCTGGCATTCTCTGGATTTATTTTGCTTTCAAGACAACTGGGAACTCTGAAAAAAAAAAAACAAGGTTGAATCATGATGACGTCAGTGATCTTCAGGTCGTAGCTCTAGAAAGAGTCCTGAGTTCCGGATTTACAATTCTGAGTTGGATGACCGTTCAAAATGTATTTTCCCAGTCGGAGCTAATTTTTCCCCGAGTTCCCAGTTGTCTTGAACTCTCACTGAAGTCAGATTTCGCAGTTCCGAGTTAACAGTTGTTTTCAGTGCGGCACAAATCATGCTTCATTGACAGCATGGCCAATGTTGAATGTTTATCATTTTAAACTTGGAAAAGAGACCCTTAATCCCAGACATGGGACCATACAGCCACTCCACTGAATAGCAGGCTAGTGGTTGCTTTGCAATGTTTGCAGTTAGCCACGGATTCCTTCCAAACCACTCATTGTTGAATTTGCGATTTCCAACTTGTTGTGTAATGTTTATGTCCAATGGCCGATGAGCACCGATATGTTTTATCTATAATTTCTCTTCATTATTTCTCTTCGTATGACAAGGATTAAAAAGGATTTGCCAGTAGATTGTCGACTTGATTCATGATGATGACTGCTAGCTAAGATTTTGAAAGTATGATGTTGACATGATCAGTCCAATCAAAGTTACTGTAGATATAATGTGATTTTACATAATTTTATCTGTGGCCAATGACCTTGAGGCTTTTTGGATGGGCACTTCTAATGTAACTCTATGGCAGCACCCAAGGGGCTTGAATTTTCGACCTCTACCATTAGACTTCGCGGTGACGTAGTGTCCCCCCATGAGTGACAGAACACTGAGCCAATCACGTCGCAACTAGAGAACATTACCAACCCCTACGCTCCGTATTTTCCGCTGGCTGCCCCACCACCACCACAGAAAGCACTGAGCTAGGCTGAAACACCTGCATTTTGGAGCTGCCTTACTAAATAAAGCAAAAAAGAGGCTGTGTTTGTATGTGGCTTTATTATGTATTTTTTTGTATTTTTTTACATTGTTTGCAAACTGATATGTGACACGTATTAATGCCAAAATAACATGCAAAACAGGCAAAGAATTGTGGGGCTAAAAATGTGGGGCTTTGCCCCACCTGCCCTAAATGACCTAACCCTACATTTAATCCTTACCTCAACTATTTTACATTTGAACTTCAATGGGGTAGGGTCGTCCCAAGGATTCTGGATAGCACGGACCGGGGCTGTTAGCCTAATGAGAGCTATGCTCATTGGACTGAGCATAGTTTCCCTTAACATCAGCGTGCATTGATAAGACCTGGGGATTAAATTCCCAATAATAAGCCGCCTTGTCCGCAATGCCTTGGGAGTGACTGGCTAAACACAGGTCCTGAGTCAGCTTTCCCACTGTCTTAATCCACTATCACTTACAAACAAACCTTATGCTGGGCCAGTGCTTATGGGATAGGCTATTACCACAGATAAAAGGGGAAGCCTCACAGTGCATATCCACAAATAACATGTTGAGGACGATGAAACAACGGAGCCCCATTCATTTTCAATGGAGTGAAGCTGAACTTTATGCAAATACTCTGCGAAATCGCGACGCTTTTGACCTCACTATAGCTTCCAGCCCCAATTGGATTGGCTGTTGATACCTAGCACTACCTAGCTTGCTAGCACCCACATGAGGATGAAGCTACAGTGGCTATCTGATTTAATGTGATATGTGCCAATCCCCTCTTACAGTGCCTCTTAACTGAAGACTATGTGGGAGAAACTACAGAAAGCCATTCATTTCCAATGGAAGAGAAGAGAAGAGAAGCGAAGTGGGCGGGGGACTGTTAGGCGACGTGAACAGGGCGGGACCAAAGTTGGGCAAAGCCAGAGGGTAAGAGGCGAAGTGAGAGGGTTTACTCTGCCCAAAATCTGTCCATGAAAATAAGGCCACAAAGTGAGTAATTTGATCAATAAATAATGTAATAGCTAATTTGCTACGTGAGGCTTATTTGATTGAATAGAAGTTTCGTAATGGTTAGGTTGCACTGATATAAGTGGACACACGTGGCATTTCGGCATCTTTGAAAACAACTTTGTTTCGTAGTTGTGCCTGTTGGTCACACGTATCCAGAGCGACTCACAGTTAGTGAGTGAATTGAACCCACAACCCTGGCGTTGCAAGCGCCATGCTCTACCAACTGAGCTACAGGAGGCCTAGTATCTACCCTCTCATTGGCTAGAATGGTCCCACCTGATCTCACCTCCTCCCGCCTGCCTTCCATACTTGAGGACATGTATTTCCATTGACTATCTTATCAATATAATAGATCATCTTTGGGAAAGCTGAGCTTTATGCAAATACTCTGCGACATTGCGGTGCGCTGGACCAATCAAAGCTCACTATAACTTCCAGCCCCTACTGGATTGGCTGTTAATACAGAGCACTATTTAGCTTCCTTGCTAGCACTCACACAAGGGCAGAGTACAAGTGCTAGTTAAAACGTACTGTAAGTTCTATAATCTTTGCTATCACTGTGCACATCTGTCACCTCTCTGTAAAGTTCCTTTGTTGGGTAACAGCATCCATGAGGGTTTCCCACAGTGTAGTAAAGCTGGGAATAGCTCTCGAGAACCCAAGGGGGGTTTGTATACCCAGCCCTTGAGTTCTCAATTGAACATATGGCCCACAGCTTAATGAATAAACTACAATCCCGACGCTCTGTTTTAACATTTTAAAAACGTTATTAATCCTCTCTAGCAATAGTTTTGGAAACCTTTGGAACTTAACTTTCATATAAGCGAGAAATAATATTTCAAATACAAAATATACACTTACTGTGCTCAGTTTAGCAAAGTGCACCCAGCTAGATTCACACACTGTTGGCTAAGACACATCCTCTCACCTTGCGCTCGTGTTTTCATTAGGCTATTCCATTCCACATTTCCGGCTGGATCGCATGTGTTTCTCAAAAACAGCTGGGTACAACTTTCCTAATCTTTTGTATACTGAACAAAAAAATATAAACGCAACAATTTCAACGATTTTACTGAGTTACAGTTCATATAAGGAAATCAGTAAATTGAAATACATTCATTAGGCCCTAATCTATGGATTTCACATGACTGGGCAGGGGTGCAGCCATGGGTGGGCCTGGGAGGGCATAGGTCCACCCACTTGGGAGCCAGGCCCACCCACTGGGAAGCTAGGCCCAGCCAATCAGAATGAGTTTTTCCCCACAAAAGGGAAAAACAGACAAATATTCCTCAGTTTCATCAGTTGTCCGGGTGGCTGGTCTCAGAAGATCCCGCAGGTGAAGAAGCCGGATGTGGAGGTCTTGGGCTGGCGTGGTTACACGTGGTTTGCGGTTGTGCAGTCGGTTGGACGTACTGCCAAATTCTCCAAAACGATATGGTAGAGAAATTAACATTCAATTCTCTGGCAACAGTTCTGGTGGACATTCCTGGAGTCAGCATGCCAATAGGTGCTCCCACAAAATTTAGACATCTGTGGCATTGTGTTGTGTGACAAAACTGCACATTTAAGAGTGGCCTTTTATTTTCCCCAACACAAGGTGCACCTGTGTAATGATCATGCTGTTTAATCAGCTTCTTGATATGCCACACGTGTCATGTGAATGGATTATCTTGGCAAAGGAGAAATGCTCACTAACAGGGATGTAAACAAATGAGTGCACAATCTGAAAGAATACGCTTTTTGTGCCTATGGAACATTTCGGGGATATTTTATTTAAGCTAATGAAACATGGGACCAAAACTTTACATGTTGCGTTTATATTTTTGTTCAATCTAAACAATACCTTAAATAGAACTGAGAATTCATGTTCTCAAATATGTGCAGTAGATACAGTGGGGAGAACAAGTATTTGATACACTGCCGATTTTGCAGGTTTTCCTACTTACAAAGCATGTAAAAATCCAGAAAATCACATTGTATGATTTTTAAGTAATTCATTTGCATTTTATTGCATGACATAAGTATTTGATACATCAGAAAAGCAGAACTTAATATTTGGTACAGAAACCTTTGTTTGCAATTACAGAGATCATACGTTTCCTGTAGGTCTTGACCAGGTTTGCACACACTGCAGCAGGGATTTTGGCCCACTCCTCCATACAGACCTTCTCCAGATCCTTCAGGTTTCGGGGCTGTCGCTGGGCAATACGGACTTTCAGCTCCCTCCAAAGATTTTCTATTGGGTTCAGGTCTGGAGACTGGCTAGGCCACTCCAGGACCTTGAGATGCTTCTTACGGAGCCACTCCTTAGTTGCCCTGGCTGTGTGTTTCGGGTCGTTGTCATGCTGGAAGACCCAGCCACGACCCATCTTCAATGCCTTTACTGAGGGAAGGAGGTTGTTGGCCAAGATCTCGCGATACATGGCCCCATCCATCCTCCCCTCAATACGGTGCAGTCGTCCTGTCCCCTTTGCAGAAAAGAATCCCCAAAGAATGATGTTTCCACCTCCATGCTTCACGGTTGGGATGGTGTTCTTGGGGTTGTACTCATCCTTCTTCTTCCTCCAAACACGGCGAGTGGAGTTTAGACCAAAAAGCTATATTTTTGTCTCATCAGACCACATTACCTTCTCCCATTCCTCCTCTGGATCATCCAGATGGTCATTGGCAAACTTCAGACGGGCCTGGACATGCGCTGGCTTGAGCAGGGGGACCTTGCGTGCGCTGCAGGATTTTAATCCATGACGGCGTAGTGTGTTACTAATGGTTTTCTTTGAGACTGTGGTCCCAGCTCTCTTCAGGTCATTGACCAGGTCCTGCCGTGTAGTTCTGGGCTGATCCCTCACCTTCCTCATGATCATTGATGCCCCACGAGGTGAGATCTTGCATGGAGCCCCAGACCGAGGGTGATTGACCGTCATCTTGAACTTCTTCCATTTTCTAATAATTGCGCCAACAGTTGTTGCCTTCTCACCAAGCTGCTTGCCTATTGTCCTGTAGCCCATCCCAGCCTTGTGCAGGTCTACAATTTTATCCCTGATGTCCTTACACAGCTATCTGGTCTTGGCCATTGTAGAGAGGTTGGAGTCTGTTTGATTGAGTGTGTGGACAGGTGTCTTTTATACAGGTAACGAGTTCAAACAGGTGCAGCTAATACAGGTAATGAGTGGAGAACAGGAGGGCTTCTTAAAGAAAAACTAACAGGTCTGTGAGAACCGGAATTCTTACTGGTTGGTAGGTGATCAAATACTTATGTCATGCAATAAAATGCAAATTAATTACTTAAATTTTTTTTATTTTTTATTTTTTAAAGTTACAAATGTTTCCAAAACTGTATCACGTGTGAGGCGTATTTGCATTTAGACAGAGCATTTGGGCAGCGTCGGGCCATTCCCCTCTCAAGGCTAAAGGGGACGTCCAATGGCTTAATGTAATGCAATGGAATTTCAGTCATAAGGGTAAGGCTGGGAATTGCCAGGGAACTCACGATACCATATTCTCACGATATACCGGAATTTTGGCGCAGGTACAGCCGACTAGCGCTAGCTAATGCTACCTAGCAAAACATGTTTGTTTTTTTGTTGTACAAATCGATACTTTGAGTCAGTATCGATAAAATATTGCGATATGTAACCGTAACGATTCCACCCCCTCCCCCATCACTACAGTGCAGGCCATGGATCTAAGTCATTGAGCACATGTACTCCATTCCCAAAGTAGCAAATAAATGATTGCATGTTTTGTTTGTGATTCATGTGTTAATGATGAAGTTTTATGAATTACGACACAAAGGAAAACGTAAAAAAAAAAAATTCAACAGAAAACTAAAATGAGCATTTCTTAAAGGATAGGTCCAGATAGTCCCTCCATGTTTCAGTCCATGTTCCTCCATTTACTCCGACCTTTGAAGCCATGTGACCAACCTTCAACCATCCACTGACCTCAGCAGTTGCAAGGATGTTCTTCTGCTGTTCTCCTAAAGGCATCAGCATTCGGCTACGCGAACCGAATGAGTGCGCTCGCATACTCCCTTAAAATACCTTTTCTTGAAAAATTAGAAAAAGTGGCAATAGTACTGTGTCCATCTTGAGACGCTGTAGACAGTATACACTTTCTCAAAATAGCCAGAATTAATCTAAGATAACTCAAGAAATCTGTCATAATTGTTTTTGATGAGGAGAGCTTAGTATCTCAATTTTACACACATCTAACTAAGATGTAGGGCTGTCCCCGACGAAAATAAAATAAAAATAATATATATATATATATATATATATAAATTGGTCGACCAATTGATTGGTTGAAATTTTAAAAAGTGTATTTTTCCATATAGACACACCTTTATATTTGAATAATAATATAATATGCCATTTAACAGACGCTTTTATCCAAAGCGACTTACAGTCATGTGTGCATACATATTTACGTATGGGTGGTCCCGGGGATCGAACCCACTACCCTTGCGTTACAAGCGCCATGCTCTACCAATTGAGCTACAGAGGACCACCAATAAAATCAACTATATGTAGGCTACTTTGCCTGATGCTTTAAGCGCTGCAATTAACAATGAAGACACACAAATTACTAAAGAGGGAGCCAGAGATCAATATAGCCTAACCAGAATAAATGAACCTGTTCCCGACCCCCTTCCTCCCGCTGCTGCTGGCCTTCGCAGATTCTGCAATTATGCTCCTGAAGTTACCGGTAATGGGCTACACCAGTGGTCGGAAAACTTTTCCATTTGTAGTGCCAAGTTATCGTACCATTTCTACTGATCTGTGTGCCAGTTATGATTTTCATATGCACAAGTCTTCATATCTCAAAATCAATGTCATGTGGCTAATCAAAATTCTATCTAAATGAAAATGATACAAATCTAAAAGTAACTTCTATTCCTATTGCCAATATGTAAAAAAAATTATCCTGTAAATCACATTGGCTATGCATGGCCTGTTTGCAAGGAACTTGAAACATTGTATCAACTATTAACTTGGGTCTGGCCAGAAAAACTTGCAACATTGTATAAAATATTCTTGGCCCTCAAAGTTTCCAAGCCAGTGAGCTCAGGACAGACTCCGGACAGACACACAGCTGTAGGCTATTTGTGAAGTAATCCGGTAGGCCTTTTTATGACGTTTCCACCAGATCAGAGGTATATTTGCCACTGCTCTACTAAAATATCGGCCGACCAACAGCCTATCGACCAGTCGACTAAATGGCGTCAGCCCTACTAAGATGTTTGGTGCAGTATTTCTCAAGTCGAAAAATGTGCATGAAAACGAGTCGTCTCTCATTGAATGACAACAAACACTTCATTGAAGAATCCCTACTGTTGACCAATCATTGACGAAGGGGTGTAATCTTCGGCTGCTGACTTCGGCTTGCCTCGAGGAAAAAATGTAGTGTGCACGAACAACATAAATAACCCTTGCCGAAGACCTAAATGTCCGCCTAATATATGCACAAACTATTCCGAACTGTTTCGGATGGGAAGCATGCGGACGCCTTAACTCCTCCTATTGTCTCCCTCTCTTTTGTCTCCTCTCTCTCTCTCTCTCTCTCTCCTTTTTCCTCTCCCTCTCCACCTCCCTCTCTCTTACACAATCACACAGAGGTGGTGTGTGGTGCTCCCACTGTCTACCTTGACTTTGCCCGCTCTAACCTGGATGCCAGGATCGGCGTGGCCGCACAGAACTGCTACAAAGTCGCCAAGGGGGCCTTCACTGGCGAGATCAGGTAAGGCTCCACTCTAGCATATGACGACACGTCTTCCACCTTGAGACGGAATCTGTGAAAAAACGTGTTCAAGATGGCCTCCTTATTGGCGCCAGCGGGAGCGTAAAATATTTTTGGGAGCTCCGATTTTTCTGGAAATTCTCATTTAGAAACATAATTGGGAAAATGGATGTTTAACATGCTTTTTACATTTGTATCACAAACCATTTCTGAGAAAACCATGATGAAATTGGCAATTTGAAGCCCTTTTTAGACCTATGCTTCCTGTAAGTCCCTATGATCTGTGAACTGTACATGATACAGACATCTTGGTGTCGTCGTATTCTTTATAGTGTTCTCAAATATGGAGCATGTCTAGTTTCTGAAATACACATTATCACATTAATTTATTCCACATTAAATATATCAATATCTCAAAACAACCCTTTTTGATTTTATTTATAGACATATTGTTTAACAATACTCTTCAAACACGTCAAATTTCAGTAGTGGGCTCTCTGAACTGTTTTCCCCAGTTCTGTTAACGACGGCGAGGGCAGGTGTTTGGCAGGCGGGAGCGAAGGACACTGTGTGCTAGCTTAACCAGCTAGTCCGGTACACAGCAGGCGGGAGGCCGGGGGCGACACTGTGTGCTAGCTAGCAAGCTAGCACACGGTGTCGCCCCAGCCTCCCGCCTGCTGTGCAAGCGGTAGGCGGGGGCGGCCGGTAGACAGTGTCCTTTGCCCCCTGTCAGGCACGGTTTTCTCCAGTACACAGCAGGTTTGAAGGAACCAATGGGATGCTCGAGGGGGGGCATTCCTGCCCCAAATTGCGGGCTGCGGTTGCACACTATTGCACCCAAGTGACTAAAATATTTGCGTGTACATTGTACTTTTATTGAGCATGGAACAATCCAAGTTAACTTTTAGTAATTTCTTATCATAACTCTTTCTCAAATTTTTCATTATACTCCTACATGTCTTTGTGTGCTGCTAAATGTGCTCCTTGTAAAATATGTCAGCGTAGAGCCCTGAATTTTCATGTCCCATGTGGTAACGATGAGTCAAAATCCACTTAGCCTTTTATTGTTTTCTGGCACATTCATTTATTTTATTTGGACTGTTTCATATAACAGTCACCTTTCACTTATTTTTCAAGATGATGTGGGCTATGAGAAGACCGGTTAAATGTTAAAGGTTTAATGTTATTTTACTTAGAAAATAGTCCTGATCATATACACTGAGTGTACAAAACATTAAGAAGACCTTTCTAATGTTGAGTCTCCCCTTTTTGCCCTCAGAACAGCATCAATTTGTCGGGGCTTGAACTCTATAAGGTGTTGAAAGCGTTCCACAGGGATGTTGACCGGATGTCCTTTGGTGGTGGACCATTCTTGATATACACTGTTGAACTTGAAAAACCCAGCAGTGTTGCAGTTCTTGACACAAACCGGTGCCCCGTTCAAAAGCACTTAAATATTTTGTCTTGCCCATTCACCCTCTGAATGGCACAAACACAGTCAATGTCTCAATTGTCTCAAGGCTTAAAAATCATTATTTAACCTGTCCCCTTCATCTACACTGATTGAAGTGGATTTGACATAATTTGTTCATCATGTTTTGTACACTCAGTATAGGCCTAGAACTAGACGATATCCAAAACAACTAACAATACACTGAATTCTTCATACATTTTCAGTCATTTAAATTGTAAAGTAATGTCGTTCTACACTTAATACCACAACAAATTTTTACAATCTGGGAGGTACATTTGATAAAGTATTCATAATTTTGCTGTGTATTCCGGATGGAATCAAGGCATTATAAATGTACCAGAGGCCACCGAAATATAGGTTGTGGCCGGGGAGGCCTGGCCGGCTACATTTCTATTTGGCTGGCTATCCAGGTACTTGTGGAAAACACTGATCACAGCCCTCCTTTAGGATTGCACATTCAGCAAATCACCAGCAGAGGGAGTTCCCTTTGAATCCATTTTCCCATTCACTGAGTTGGGGGGACTCATACCTTCAGAATTAGCAGAGAGCCCAATCTGGAAGTTTGTGATACAAATGTAAAAAGGATTTTAAACATCCTTCCTCCCAATGAAGTTTCTATGTGAGAATTGCCAGAACAATCTGACATACTAAAAATATTTTCTGCTTCCGCTGGAGTGGAATCTCCCTATTTCTATTTTCAATTAAATCTACTATTTAGTGGATGTATTGATAATCCCTCCCTCTTTCTTTCTCTCTTCCTCAGCCCTGTGATGATCAAGGACTGTGGCGTGGAGTGGGTGATTCTGGGCCACTCGGAGAGGCGCCACGTGTTCGGGGAGAGCGACGAGCTGATTGGTCAGAAGGTGGCCCATGCCCTGGAGAGTGGCCTGGGGGTGATCGCCTGCATCGGAGAGAAGCTGGAGGAGAGAGAGGCTGGAACCACAGAGGAGGTGGTGTACACCCAGACCCAGGTCATCGCAGGTAACAGCTGGGTTCAAACCCCATGTCTGCTGTGTGTCACAGGAATGTATTAGTCTGCTCATCTAAAGCTTTCTCATCATGCACGCGTTGAACCCTTGCAACACTAGGGTTGTGGGTTCGATTCCCACAGGTGACCAGTAGGAAAAAGTATGTAAAAGTATGCACTCACTACTGTAGGTCGCTTTGAATAAGAGCGTCTGCTAAATGACAAAAGTGTAAACGTATAGACCCATTGTTTTCTCTACTGAATAAAAATGTCCATGAAATCTTAATTGTATATCTTCTACCCAATATACCCACTTCTACCTGCTCTGTTGCACTCCTTCCAAAATATTTTAAACATTATTTTGGTTTAAGTTGAAAATGTTACTATTTTTTGTAATATTTTTTTGGGGACAAACAAAAACATACATAGACAAAAACAATAGACAACTTAACATTTACATACATTTCAACAAACATTAACAACATCACACTTGCTCTGAAAATGTTAGCCTCAAAGGCCCTGGATGTTGCCTTGGACTTTTATGTACCTTATTCAGGAGGTAGTCAAAGGGGTTGGAAGTAGTTCACTAAATGGTGGTCTTGCCTGAGACCTAAAAAACTAACTCTGGGGTCTATTCCATTGGTCTACCTACCACATGTTGTATTATACATTTTAAGGCAATTAGTGGTAGGCCAAACATACCTTATCATTATCTACATACAGTGCCGTCCCTTATCTTGATAAAAAGTTGTTGTGTTGTAGACAACGTGAAGGACTGGAGTAAAGTGGTGCTGGCTTACGAGCCTGTGTGGGCCATTGGTACTGGCAAGACGGCCTCACCCGAACAGGTACGACTCATCACCATTTCATAACATCACCATTTCATAACAATATTTACTTAGTTACCTACAACAACTATGTTTTTTAATAGTTACAAGCAGATCTGTGAGAAATGGATATTGGTTTTCTTAATTAAATGCATTGAAAAATTATTGGAAAAGTTAGAAAGAGTTACCTAGTTGTCTGTACATCAAAACTATTGGGACAAATTCACTTATGTGTATTAAATGAGTCAGAATTGTTTAGTATTTTGTCCCATATTCCTAGCACACAATGATTGCATCAAGCTTGTGACTCTAGAAACTTGTTGGATGTACACTACATGGCCAAAAGTATGTGGAAACCAGTGGAGGCTGCTGAGCAGAGGACAGCTCATAATAATGGCTGGAATGGAGTCAATGGAATGGTATCAAACACATCAGACGTGGTTTCCATGTGGTTGATACCACTACATTGACTTCATTCCAGCCATTATTATGAGCCGTCCTCCCCTCAGCAGCCTCCACTGGTGGACACCCCTTCAAATTAGTTGATTTGGCTATTTCAGCCACACCCATTGCTGACAGGTGTATAAAATCGAGCACACAGCCATACAATCTCACCATGCGCAATGCTAAGCGTCAGCTGTAGTGGTGTAAAGCTCGCCGCCATTGGACTCTGGAGCAGTGGGGATTTTTTTAAATCGTGAATAATGATGAGTGAGAAAGTTAGACGCACAAATATCATACCTCCAAGACATGCTAACCTCTCACCATTACAATAACAGGGGAGGTTAACATTTCTGGGGGGGTATGGTATTTGTGCATCTGTAACCTTCTCACTCATCATTATTCAAGATTCGTTCAGGACTATCCGTAATCATGGTAGAATCCACATTAATGTAGAAGTGTTTAGAAACATTCTATTCTTACTTACAATAAAAGTGACTCCAAAATGACACAATACATTATTTACCATTCATTTCTATTGGGCACAAAATAATCTGAAACACAACCGAAACAAACAGCAAATGCATCCAACACATGTGTAGTGTCACAAGCTTAATTTAGTCATTGCGTGCTATGGATATGGGACCAAATACTTAACATTTGACTACTTTAATACACTGAATTTGTCCCAATACTTTTGGTCCCCTAAAACGTGGGGGAGGGGCTATGTACAAAAAGTGCAATAATTTCTAAACGGTTCACCCGATATGGATGAAAATACCCTCAAATTAAAGCTGACAGTCTGCACATTAACCTCATAATTATTATATCATTTCAAATCCAAAGTCCTGGAGTACAGAGCCAAAACAACATGTCTGTACCAATCGTTTTGTTGCTCACTGTATGTTTTAAGTAAATCTTCAACGATAGTTCCATTGTTTCGTTTTTCTGTATCGTTAGAAGAAATAGCTTAGTGGTTTGTGCTAAATGTGGTTATATTAAGCACTAGTTTGTTTCTGCTGCAAGAGTGTATTATTATTTATTTATTTTTGATATATTTTTATTTGAAGGCCCGGTGCAGTCAGAAATGTGATTTTCCTGTGTTTTATATATATTTTCAGATGGAGGTTGGAATAGATTTGTGAAAATTATAATAATGCCCTTTTAGTGTAAGAGCTGTTTGAAATTTCAGCCTGTTATGGTGGGATGGAGTTTTGGCCTTCCTGGTGACATCACCAGGTGGTAAATTAGGTAATAGTGAGTTCCAAACCTCTCTGCCAATAACAGCTAGTTTTCAGTTTTCCCCTCCCCACTCAGATGTCTCCCAGACAGTCCTAGCTAAATTATTGCTTGAGAAATTGCTCTTTGTTAAGAAGCTATTTTTGTGTATTTTTTAGCATTTTAATTAAAAACAATCACAGTAAGGTACTTAATTGTTACGGAGAAATTATTTGATATTGAGATAAAAATGGCTACATTGGACCTTTAACCTTTATTTATCCAGGCTAGTCTTGTTGATGAAAATCTATTTTTCAAGAGAGACCTAGTCCAAGTGTGCATGCATCTATTTACTATACATTTGTGCGCGTGTGTGTGTGAACTTCTCTCGTCTCGCCCCAGGCCCAGGAGGTGCATGAGAAGCTGAGGGAGTGGATGAGGGCCAACGTCTCTGAGGCCGTGGCTGACTCCGTCCGCATTATCTACGGAGGTCAGTAGGGGACACACTGAACCCAGGCTGCTGATAGCAAAGAGACAATCCCCAGAGCCACTTTTTCTAATGGAAATCTAAACAAATATATATTGGGCTGAATAGATTTGGGGTCAAATAAACACACATCAATATTTTACTGACCATCAAATGGAGCTTAGAGCATGTATAACATTACTTTGGTGTCTGTTAACTTAGAAGAATATGAATTAGTGTTCCTAAACCTTTGATATATTATAAACCTTTGATGAAATTCTTGCATATATATATATATATACACACACGCTTGAGTGTTTTTACCAAAGTCCCTCCCCTCTCTTTCTCCAGGCTCCGTGACGGGGGCCAACTGCAAAGAGCTGGGCTCCCAAAACGATGTGGACGGCTTCCTGGTGGGCGGAGCCTCCCTCAAGCCCGAATTTGTTGACATCATCAACGCGCGTGCCTAGAGCGCACAAGAGCAATCTAACCTGCTGCTAGTAGTGTCCTGTGACTGCCTCTCTTCCCAGAGTGTCTGTGTGACAATGGCTTTACCTGTATTTGTGTCAACAAGGGACTATTTGACTCATTTTGTACTGCACTGTAGTTTAGGGACCAGCCACAGTAAAAGTCCCACATTGATAAGACATGTCAGTCCAGATAATTTCTCCATTGGTTGATGCAGATGGTATTCTGTGTGTTGAGGAAGGGACTTTTATTATGGAACGTCTCTTTGGATGGCGGTTCCTAACAACTACTATATCAACTATATATAATCTAAAATGTACATTTCTGATATATTAATAAGCACTGCACTTAGTGATGTTCCATATAGGATATGTGCTCACTCATTACTGTAAGGGGACCAGTACTTTGTGTATTGCTAGTGACTACAAGTTCCATTGTCACTAGAAGCAGTCATGCACACGCTTGGTTTAGTCCCTCTTTTCTCTTGCATCAGACATTGCATCAACGGAAGCCACAAATCTCTCCAGTTACTGCATGACTCTAGCAGAAATATGGCTCCTTCCATCCACCCAAAGCAGTCTGGATAATACTTTTCAAAATGATTGAAAAAGAAAAGGCGCAAAGATTAAAAACGTATCTGTTTAAACAACTATTAAAAGCTTGACGTTTCAACCTTCATCAGAACCTTTTCAATTATCACATTTTTTGTTTGCACCTCTACGCACCCTCCACTTCTTCCCTATATTCATTTAGCAGCGGCGCACAGCTTTTAAAATCAGTGACAAGGTACAAGTTACATACAGTGTGTGTGTGTGGGTATATACAGTGAGTGAAAAAAGTATTTGATCCCCTGCTGATTTTGTAAGTTTGCCCACTGACAAAGAAATGATCAGTCTATAATTTTAATGGTAGGTTTATTTGAACAGTGAGAGACAGAATAACAACACAAAAATCCAGAAACGCATGTCAAAAATTTTATAAATTGATTTGCATTTTAATGAGGGAAATAAGTATTTGACCCCCTCTCAATCAGAAAGATTTCTGGCTCCCAGGTGTCTTTTATACACTCTTAAAGGGAGTGCTCCTAATCTCAGTTTGTTACCTGTATAAAAGACACCTGTCCACAGAAGCAATCAATCAATCAGATTCCAAACTCTCCACCATGGCCAAGACCAAAGAGCTCTCCAAGGATGTCAGGGACAAGATTGTAGACCTACACAAGGCTGGAATGGGCTACAAGACCATCGCCAAGCAGCTTGGTGAGAAGGTGACAACAGTTGGTGTGATTATTCGCAAATGGAAGAAACACAAAAGAACTGTCAATCTCCCTCGGCCTGTGGCTTCATGCAAGATCTCACCTCGTGGAGTTGCAATGATCATGAGAACGGTGAGAAATCAGCCCAGAACTACATGGGAGGATCTTGTCAATGATCTCAAGGCAGCTGGGACCATAGTCACCAAGAAAACAATTGGTAACACACTACGCCGTGAAGGACTGAAATCCTGCAGCGCCCGCAAGGTCCCCCTGCTCAAGAAAGCACATATACATGCCCGTCTGAAGTTTGCCAATGAACATCTGAATGATTCAGAGAACTGGGTGAAAGTGTTGTGGTCAGATGAGACCAAAATGGAGCTCTTTGGCATCAACTCAACTCGCCATGTTTGGAGGAGGAGGAATGCTGCCTATGACCCCAAGAACACCATCCCCACCGTCAAACATGGAGGTGGAAACATTATGCTTTGGGGGTGTTTTTCTGCTAAGGGGACAGGACAACTTCACCGCATCAAAGGGACGATGGACGGGGCCATGTACCGTCAAATCTTGGGTGAGAACCTCCTTCCCTCAGCCAGGGCATTGAAAATGGGTCGTGGATGGGTATTCCAGCATGACAATGACCCAAAACACACGGCCAAGACAACAAAGTGGCTCAAGAAGAAGCACATTAAGGTCTTGGAGTGGCCTAGCCAGTCTCCAGACCTTAATCCCATAGAAAATCTGTGGAGGGAGCTGAAGGTTCGAGTTGCCAAACGTCAGCCTCGAAACCTTAATGACTTGGAGAAGATCTGCAAAGAGGAGTGGAACAAAATCCCACCTGAGATGTGTGCAAACCTGGTGGCCAACTACAAGAAACGTCTGACCTCTGTGATTGCCAACAAGGGCTTTGCCACCAAGTACTAAGTCATGTTTTGCAGAGGGGTCAAATACTTATTTCCCTCATTAAAATGCAAATCAATTTATAACATTTTTGACATGCATTTTTCTGTATTTTTTTGTTGTTATTCTGTCTCACTGTTCAAATAAACCTACCATTAAAATTATAGACTGATCATGTCTTTGTCAGTGGGCAAACGTACAAAATCAGCAGGGGATCAAATACTTTTTTCCCTCACTGTATATATATATATATATATATATATATATATACACACACACCTGTTCTGAATGGCCTCAGTGTGCAACACCACTAAGCAAGGGGCACCATGAAGACCAAGGAGCTCTCCAAACAGGTCATGGACAAAGTTGTGGAGAAGTACAGATCAGGGTTGGGTTATAAAAACTTTGAACATCCCACAGAGCACCATTAAATCCCTTATTAAAAAATTGAAAGAATATGGCACCACAACAAACCTGCCAAGAGAGGGCCGCCCACCAAAACTCACGGACCAGGCAAGGAGGGCATTAATCAGAGGCAACAAAGAGACCAAAGATAACCCTGAAGGAGCTGCAAAGCTCCACAGCGGAGATTGGAGTATCTGTCCATAGGACCACTTTAAGCCGTACACGCCACAGAGCTGGGCTTTACAGAAGAGTGGCCAGAAAAAAGCCATTGCTTAAAGAAAGAAATAAGCAAACACGTTTGATATTCGCCAAAAGGCATGTGGGAGACTCCCCAAAGATATGGAAGGAGGTACTCTGGTCAGATGAGACTACAATTGAGCTTTTTGGCCATCAAGGAAAACGCTATGTCTGGCGCAAACCCAACACCTCTCATCACCCCGAGAACACCATCCCCACAGTGAAGCATGGTGGTGGCAGCATCATGCTGTGGGGATGTTTTTCATCGTCAGGGACTGGGAAAATGGTCAGAATTGAAGGAATGATGGATGGCGCTAAATACAGGGAAATTCTTGAGGGAAACCTGTTTAAGTCTTCCAGAGATTTGAGACTGGGACTGAGGTTCACCTTCCAGCAGGACAATGACCCTAAGCATACTGCTAAAGCAACACTCGAGTGGTTTAAGGGGAAACATTTAAATGTCTTGGAATGGCCTAGTCAAAGCCCAGACCTCAATCCAATTGAGAATCTGTGGTATGACTTAAAGATTGCTGTACACCAGTGGAACCCATCCAACTTGAAGGAGCTGGAGCAGTTTTGACTTGAAGAATGGGCAAAAATCCCAGTGGCTAGATGTGCCAAGCTTATAGAGACATACCCCAAGAGACTTGCAGCTGTAATTGCTGCAAAAGGTGGCTCTACAAAGTATTGACCTTGGGGGGGGGGCTGAATAGTTATGTACGCTCAAGTTCTTTGTTTCACAATAAAACATATTTTGCATCTTTAAAGTGGTAGGCATGTTGTGTAAATCAAATGATACAAACCCCCCAAAAATCTATTTTAATTCCAGGTTGTAAGGCAACAAAAGAGGAAAAATGCCAAGGGGGGTGAATACTTTCGCAAGCCACTGTGTATTTGCATGATTTAGCATAATTAATTCAGCATTAGCATTTTGTTTCGTTCAATACTGGTTCATAACATGTGACAGACCAATACCTAACGAGGCTTCTTCTCTCTAAGCTGAGACCTTGGAACTGAGATATCTTCTGTTCTCAAAACAAAGGTCTGCGTGTACTGCCAAATTGCAGCTACTGATAGTGAGGATTCGTTCAGTCAGTCACTTGCATGAACACAGAAATTGGTTTATAGAAAAGCACAAACATAGAACATATAAATGTATAGAATAGAAAAGCACCAACATTAAAATGTCCATCACATTAAGATTAGGGGAGGGTAAGCTGATCCTAGATGTGTACAACATTGATATTAATAATTTAAAAAACAGACAACACCAATGTGATTGAAACAGTAAATTACCATAATTTTATTTCACATATATTTTTTTCTTCATGATAGAAGTTCTGTCTTACAACAGCAATTCTATTGACAGAGGAACCAAAGGAAAGTAGGGAAACGGGAAACAGGGACTTCAAGCATGGAGGAACAGGCCAATTTCTGCAATCATAGCAACACCCGGAGAGGGACTGTGGAGGTAACCAAGAAACAACAAGAACGAGGGACGACTGCAGAGCCAGAAAAGAGGAGAGGGGGATGAAGGAGGGAGAGTGCAGTTTTGTTTCATCATGGGTGAATGAGAGCAAACAACTGTGCAATACAATATGTATTCTTTTTTTTCTCAGTCAGCCTAGTTAGTCTGTCCTTGTCAGCCATCAGTCGGAGTGTTGCTTTTTTCGTATACAGCGGTGTGTATTAAATTTTTTCTTTGTGTGTATTTAATTCTCTCTTTTTTATTTGACACTCATCTCAGTCTTATGTGTGTTCAGGCTTCATATCTACACTTGTGTGTCTCTATGTGCACGTTTGTGTCTGTCTGTCGGTCCGTCAGTCTGTCTCTTTAAATCTTTGTCTATCAGTCTATGTGTCTCAAAATCAGAGTAACTGTGCATCTTTAATGTTACCCTGTAGTTCTTCTGTGTATGTAGCTTAGAGGCTCTGAATGTAGTTGGTATGTCTGTCTGTCTGTCTGTCTGTCTGGTCTCACAGGGCAGTGGGGTTTCTGAAGTTATAGCCTGCAAAGCGAGCTTGATCCCCCAACTCCTCCTCGATCCTAAAGAGACCAACAGAATGGACAAAGAGAGAAAAAGAGAACTGCGTGTTCAATAATACAACAGGTAAATGCATCTGAACTGAATTTGCATCTGACATCCATATGTTCAAGGTAAAAGTCCAGGCAATCTGAACCTAGATCTGTGGTTAGGTTAGGCGGCGACTTCTACCTGCACCTATTTACCCAGTGATCAGGGAAATATAGTAGCCGTTATTGGTTAATGCTGCTGTGATTGGGCAATCAGATCCTAGATCTGTGGTTACATACACCTCCACCTGCAACTATTAACCCAGTGATCATCAGGGGTTATAGGAGCTGTTATTAGGAGTCATGCAATCGGATTCTAGATCTATGCAACTTGTAACTTCTACCTGGACCATTAACCCAGTGATCAGGGTGTTATAGTGACTGTTATGGGTTAAAGCTGCTGTGATTGGGTAAGAGGCCCTCCCCCCCTGCCCTGCTAAGAGCCCAATGGGATTATCCTGAGCGGATCCCAAGTGCTGTCCGCACTGACTGGCTCTCACACATGGGGTGACATTGGCATGTTGTTAGCATGCGTGTCACAGCAATTAGCTCGGTGACGCTCGTTTATGTGGGAATACGCTCTTGGCTACGCTCTTGGCTACTACGGTCACAATCAAGGTGAAAGCTGGCCTTATTATCAGGTACAGGTCTAGGTTCAGTTTACAGTAAATAAATGCTAACCTGACCATCGACCATTCAAGGTGGAAGGTAAAACGAACGTTTGATCAGTGTCTAGGGGCAACGTCGTCCTACTCCTATTCATACTTTTAGGGATTGTTGACCTGTAACAGTAGCTTATTGGTCTCTACACAGTATAACTACAGTATATGTTAGTATATGATTACATGCAATAATACACATAGAAGTGTATTACTATTCCTTTGAGATGCAGTGTTTATGGAAATACACTGAGTGTACAAAACATTAGGATATCCTGTGGCATTCAAACGTTGCTCCACTTTTATCAAGGATGAAAACACACCATCACACCACCAGCATGCAATGTTGGCATGATGGAAGCATGTACTCATGTGGTTTTCGCCATACCCTAGTCCTGCCAGCAGGAACCGAGATTCATCAGACCAAGCAATGTTTTTCCAATTTCCCTGTGTCCAGTGTTTTCGTTCCTTAGCCCACTTCAACCTCAGTTTCTTTTTTTTTGCTGAAAGAAGTTGAACTCTGTACGGTTGTCGGCTGCCATACCCCATTCGTGTCAAGGTACAACGAGTTGTGCATTCTTTTATGGGTCTTTGAGCACCAACGTTGTACTGGACTGTCAGTTGACTAACTGTAGCCCGTCTGTTGCTCTGCACATATTCGTGTCAGCGTCCTTTGTCCTCTTTCATCAATGACCCATTTTCGACCACTGTCCTACCGTTGGCTGGATGTCCTTTGGGTGCTGGACCATTCTTGATACACACGGGAAACTGTTGAGCGTGAAAAACCCAGCAGTGTTGCAGTTCTTGACACACTCAAACCGGTGTGCCTAGCACCTACTACCATACCCCGTTCAAAGGCACATAAATATACTGAGCAAAAATATAAAACGCAACATGCAACTATTTCCTATAAGGAAATCAGTCAATTGAAATAAATAAATTAGGCCCTAATCTATGGATTTCGCATGATTGGGCAGGGTGCAGCCATTGGTAGGCTGGGAGGGCATAGGCCCACCCACTGGGGAGCCAGGCCCAGCCAATCAGAATGAATTTTTCCCCACAAAAGGGCTTTATCACAGACAGAAAAATACTATTTTTGTTCAGTGTATTTTTTTCTTGTCCATTCACCCTCTGAATGGCACACATACACAATCCCATGTCTCAAGGCTTAAAAATCCGTATTTAACCTTTATTTTCTTTCAAGAAGCAATATAAGCCACTGAATAGCTAGAGGATCATGTTTGACCACTGACCTCATGAGCTGGTTGTACTTGGCCAGCCTCTCAGATCTACATGGTGCTCCTGTCTTAATCTGAGAGAGAGAGAGAATTAGAAGAGATTTCGTGAAAGCGATACAATTTTGTGGTCAGATTTGTATAACGGTCAGGGTCTTCTGTGTCTATGTGGAACGCTCCGCATGTCTCTGTGAGTGAGTGTTTACCTGTCCAGTGCAGAGCCCCACCACTAGGTCAGCGATGAAAGTGTCCTCTGTCTCTCCTGAACGGTGACTGACCATCACCCCCCAGCCATTGGCTTGGGCTAGCTTACACCTGAGAGAGAGCGAAGGAGAGGGAGAGAGAGAAGGTGTCAGGCAGATATATATAGAGTGATAAAGAAACACACAGGGAGATAAAGAGAGGGATAGAGAAACAGAGAGTGAGCAAGAGATATAAAGAGAGAGGGATAGAGAGAGATGGAGAGTAGAAAAAGCGTGAGACAGACCGAGGATAGGTGGGGTGTGGGCGATAGACTATCAGAGAGGGTACTAAAAGGATAGTTCAATGAATGTAGGATTCTAAGTGATTGATGGAACGCTGCAGCCCGTCTGGTGTTCAACCTTCCCAAGTTCTCTCACGTCACCCCGCTCCTCCGCACAATCCACTGGCATCCAGTTGAAGCTCGCATCTACTACAAAACCATGGTGCTTGCCTACGGAGCTGTGAGGGGAACGGCACCTCCTTACCTTCAGGCTCTGATCAGACCCTACACCCAAACGAGGGCACTACGTTCATCCACCTCTGGCCTGCTAGCCCCCCTACCTCTACGGAAGCACAGTTCCCGCTCAGTCCAGTCAAAGCTATTTGCTACTCTGGCACCCCAATGGTGGAACAAGCTCCCCCACGACGCCAGAACAGCGGAGTCACTGACCACCTTCCGGAGACACTTGAAACCCTACCTCTTTAAGGAATACCTGGAATAGTATAATAGTAATCCTTCTACCCCCCCTTTACTACCACTGTCTTTTGTCTAAACGAACACCTGACTTATTTCACCTGCTAGCACTGACTTGTTTAAAGAAATGTACTTATTGTGATCGAGATGTAGTTGTCCCTGATTGCAGACTTTGCTCACAGCTGCTTGTTTGAAGAAGTGTACTTACTGTGATCAAGATGTGGTTGTCCCACTGGCTATCCTAAATTGAATGCACCAATTTGTAAGTCGCTCTGGATAAGAGCGTCTGCTAAATGACTTAAATGTAAATGATGGCTATATTACTCCATTCTAATTGAACTACTTTGAATGACTGTTGGCTGTACTTACGGTCAAGATTGATGACAACAGTTATAGATGATGGATAGCTGTAAAATGTAAATGATTGATGGCTATGAGTGTTGTAACATTTGACAGGTATATAGATGGAAGTAAAGGGTTGGCTATATAAATATGACTGATTGACGATCATATGAATGTAAAAAAGCTAATTATTTTCTTCATTCAATTATATTTTATTTGAGCATGTAACTGCCATTGAGATTGACATCTCTTTCTCAAGGACTTCCAACCTTGCCAAGAGACAGACGTGATGATTGACAGTTACATAAATGTGTATGAATGACATCACACTTTACTTGAACCCTACCTACTAGAGGTATTTTGGACCGTTCCTAAATGGACCTGGGGCTTTCCCACCCGGACCCAATACGCATAAATAAAAAATGTAAATATAGAGACCCGTTCCGAACCGACCCGATGACAAATAGACCTGTTCTGTATAGACCTGGTCGGATCCAGACCCGGTCCGATCCGAGTGAGGGAAGCAGCAGAAAAGTCATTTTTTAAGCTACTTTATTAACTCGAGCTGGGAGGGGCGGTACTGTGAGCGAGTGACACAGGGAGGAGGGAGTGAGAGACGGAAACCGACCAAACCGACTCGCGCTATAGTAGACTAATAGCTGCCAAAGCTAGGTTATTTATAATCAAATATGATTACGTCGTACCTGTCTTGACTGCATCAAACCGGGAGAAGCTAGTTAAGCTAACTAACGTTAGCTACAGCGCATGCGCTTTCTAATCCTACAATTACAAATAACAACAACTCACTGAGGCTGCAGTGCATCCACTTTACAGTCCTACAGTTACAAATAACAACTCCATTCAAAATATTAAGTAGCAGCCTACCTGATGGCTCTTGGTCATTGTAGCCTATCCGTTTCCTTTCACTTTAATTCCGTCCATCCTCCATTGATTAGATGACTAACTTTTGCTACACATAGAGCGAGGCTCTATATAACTGTTGCCTACTGCCGCTTTGATGACTCATGATTGGCCAACAACAAGCTACACGCGCCACGCTCCACTCTGGTGAAAAGCAGGAGCAGCAGCATAAATTACAACATTTCTCTACTGCAGCAGTCGCGTTCGGATCTGTATGGGCCCTTCCGGACAAGTCAGTTAAAATTACACATATCCGAGACCCGTGACAATCATATCAGATCCAACCCAGACCTGTGACATTATTTAGAATTCTGGATCTGGACCCGCTCGGGTCCCGGATCGGGTCTCGGGTGTTCAGGTACAGGTGGATCCGTGAAGACCTCTACTACCTACATCAGTGGTCCCAAACTCCGGTCCTCCAGTACCCCCAACAGCACACATTTTGTGTGACGTGGGGTCATGTGACGTGGGTCACTTACGCCTGGATGGCTTCAGTGACAGAGCCGATCTGGTTGACTTTGAGCAGTAGGCAGTTGCAGGCCCGCTCCTCGGCAGCCTTCTCTATCCTCTTGGGATTGGTCACCGTCAGGTCGTCCCCGACAACCTGGATGCCCACGGAAGCGGTGAGGCGGGACCAGGCGGCCCAGTCGTCCTGGTCAAACGGGTCCTCGATGGACACCACTACAAAGGGGACAAGGGTTTTGTGTTATCTCTGACTAGTTAAAAAAAATGTATGCACTGTGTGAGTATATGTCTTTTTTAAACTCTCAAATAAAATCAATCAATCAAATTCATGTTAGATTGAATTAGGAATCTAATAGGTGTCAGATAACCGTTTGCCTACCTGGGTAGTCGTTAACGAAGCTTTGGTAGATGTCTGACAGCTCCTCTCCGCTGATATGTCTGTCAGCGTCCGGAGGAGACTTGAAGTCCAGGTCGTACTTCCCCTCGCGGTAGAACTCGGACGCCGCCACATCCATCCCGATCACCACCTTATCCGTGAAGCCTGCTTTCTCGATGGCTGTCTTTATCAGCTCCAACGCTGAAGGGAGAGACGGAAAGAGGGAGGAGGGAGGAGGGAAGGAAAGAAAGATGATAAGTGTTGGGCGGAGATCGAGAACGAGAGAGGAAGGTAGACTCTATCTTGCCTCTGAACCACTCTGTTTCTGCTTTAGACAACTTGTCTTGTTCCTTGTTTGATGAGATGATGCTGCTGTGTTGCTGAGTGCAGAAATAGTCAAGTATCCAAGCTGGAGTGGGGTTGAGAGTGAGGCAGAAAGGTTGCAAGAATACACACTGATTCTGTTCTAGATGCTAGAGAGATACTACAGACCAAAATCTATTCTAAGAGGCTACAGCTGACACTCCTTCAGGCTTTTCACACCTCTTTTTGATCTTGCCAGGGTTGACTTTCTGTCACACCTAGCTACTTCTTCAAATCATTCTTAGCCCAAGGCCCAGGGTTATCACACACACACACACACCAACGCAAGCTCAAGTACAAGCTTAAGCGCTCACACACTGTTAGTTCAAAGATCATCTGATACACATTTCCTTGGCTGTTGGGAAATGTGAGAAAAGCAAGCCTTGAGGACATATCGTGACAAGCATACAGATGGGCAGACACTGTTTATGATTTTATCTGTAACACCATGTTAGATTTATGGCTGCTGTTTTCCCATAGACATTGCAGACTAGACTAGATCGTGGGTGAGAAGATTTGTCTATTGGTGTAAATGCACATACAGAATGTGGGCAACCAAAAGTGTTGAAAATATGAACATTGGCACAGTCCACTATTTTCAAAGTGCCCCCAAGAGAATGTATTATTTGAACTCTGTTCAAAGGGTTACCAGAGTCATGTTCAGTGGGGCACATAGCAAAATGTTTTGAAACAGAAAAGAAAAAGTCCAGACCGCTTTCTTATGTTTGGTGTGTAATGAACACGACCCAAGATAGAGGTAAAGTGCCATGGATATCCTATGGTTGGAGTTGTACCGCGGATGTCTCGCTCGGGAATCCAACGTCTTAACCATTATATCAATAAAATACCTGTGGTCCGAGAGTGACAATTGAGCTTACAGGTCTCAGGCAGGTCTGCCCCTCACAGGACTGTGATTCTAAATCAACTCTGCTACACTTACCCTCACTGTTCTCCAGGATATTGGGGGCAAATCCCCCCTCGTCGCCAACGTTGGTAGCGTCCTGGCCATACTTCTCCTGGATCACCCCCCTGAGCGTGTGGTACAGCTCAGAGCCCACCCGTAGCGCGTCCCTGAAAGACTCCGCCCCGACAGGAAGTACCATGAACTCCTGCATGGCTAGCTTGTTGCCCGCGTGGGAGCCGCCGTTGATCACGTTGAACGCCTGGAAAGGAGATGAGGAGACAGAGGGAATTAGCAGTTAGGCCAATACCCATGTTCAGCAGCTATGGTGCAGTACATTTCCCTTTTTTTTTTTTTTCGATACAGTATATGTTGTTTTTATCATACGTACCATTATGGTAAAACCATTTACACAATGACTGTTTCAGTGTTCATTATTGTTATTATGCTACTGCTACACCTCCTTCTCCTCTGATATGACAGTTACATAAGTAGTGTTTGTCTTACTGGAACTGGCAGCACCAGCTCTGTGTTTCCTGCCAAGTCAGCGATGTGACGGTACAGGGGGACCTCTTTCTCTGCTGCACCAGCCTTGCAAATGGCCAGGGAGATTCCCAGGATAGCATTAGCACCAAACTGAGCTGTCGACGAGGAAGGAAATGCGATAAATTCCAAAAAGGGCTACCAAAATCTAGGTTCAGACAAAAGCCCATTCTCTCAGTTAATGGTGGACCTGAATTGATCAGGGGATACAGCTTGACACATTTTATCTGTTTCTTTGGTAGGAGCCTGGAGACTCACACTTGTTCTCTGTGCCGTCCATTTCGATCATCGTGTTGTCCAGTTGCTCCTGCTCCACAACACTGATACCCTATGGGACACATCATATTTACACAACTCATTTATAAGCATATTAAAACGTTATTTCAATTGGTAAGTAATCGAGGACCAATTCTGTTCTTCAACAAATGGACGGATAACCCGCAACATATGGCAACTGCGCACAAGAAAGATCTCATATTTTCAGCCACCTTTGAACTGAGCCAAACCCTCAAAAGTATTACCTCTTGCACATATCATAGATATAACAGATTTGCTTGTATAGAATCAGAGTACAACATCAATGAGTTGTAAGATGTTCAGCTCATTTCTATATGCATTCTATATATACACATTGTAAAAGTGCAGCAAAATGGCAATGTGATTTTCGTACGTTGCAGCAATGTGTTTTTACTGGCTGGCTGCATCCTAAGATTGATTTTCCACTAACATCTGCCTCAGCATAAATCTCTCTCTCTGTCTGTGGCGCAGCTGTCTGAATCATAAATACACACACACAAACAATAAGACACACACACACACACAGAACAATTACTCCATGCTCTTACTCACTCATACCAACACATCCCCATACACATTTCACTGCACCTATCTGGTGTTTGTGACAATAAAACATATTTTCTTTTTTTCTTCCACTGTCTTTGGTCCATCTTCACACATTTGTTTATCAACGCCTGTCTGGATAGGTTAATCGCATCCACTCAGCTTCCTGAAAGTCCATCCGGAGGCGATGGTTATCTGCAGATCAATATGTACTCACACTAAAACATGATCACTGTCACCTAGCTGACAAAACACAGTCTCCAACTCACCGATGCTATGAGGGCAGGAGCCAGAGTGTCATTGATGTGGCCCACTGCCTTGAGTACACCTAGATCAGAGAAAGAAGGCAGATAGGAGAGAAGATGGTGAAGGAGGAACAAAAATCATTCTGTTTACTCAAGCATTAGATATACATGCACACAAACAAACCTTTGCCCTTGTAGCGGCTCTTGTCTCCATCCCTCAGCTCTAGAGCCTCATAGATGCCTGTGGACGCTCCACTGGGCACTGCAGCCCTGAAAAGACCTGAGAGAGACAGAGAGAGAGACAGAGAGAGAGAGAGGTAGAGAGAGAGAGAGACAGAGAGAGAGAGAGAGAAAGAGAGAAAGAGAGAGAGCGAGAGAGAAAGAGGAGAGATAAGGGATAGAGAGAGAAAGAGAGAGAAGGTAAGGGGAGGGAGGTGTAAAAGATGGCAATAGAGAGAGTAACGTTGGAGGGGAATTATATAGTAAGAGAAAGAATAGGTGATGCTCTTAAGAATGTATCATAGCTTTTGGCTAATCTTAGCGCTCTTTGTATGGTGTGATGCTCAGCTTTGCAGACAGGAATGAGAGGGGTCACCTTTCTCTGTGCACAGGTCCACCTCCACAGTGGGGTTTCCTCGGGAGTCCAGGATCTCCCTCGCAATGATGCTCACAATCGACATCCTGTGAAAGAGAGAGAGAAAGGAAGGAGAGAAAGAAAGAGAGAGAGGGGGAAAGAGATTTATTTTTACCATTGCATTTGCACATACAGTAAGGAAGTGCATAATGGAAGTGCAAATTAAGTGTGCAGAGTGACATTACGATTGCTATATCCCATCATGATTTATGAGAGAGTTCCACCATGTAAAGTTGCAAGACATCAAACAGTACGAATGTAATTGATTTTACAATGCATCGTGTACCAGAAGGTTAGATGGCGCTACTACCATGGTAAAAGGACCAGACTATCTGAATTCAAGTTCATGATGCTAAAACATGGCTCACTCAGACACTATGCCGCTATCAGACCTGAGAGTTGTGGAATCTGTGGTCAGTGACTCAAGCTAAATGACGACATCGTTCCTAGTCACCTGGCTCACGACTCCATGAGACACAGGGAATCCATCACTGCCATTGGTCAAGATTGGACTGTCAGCGCCCAGCTCACCATGACAAGCCTTATATCCAGAAATCCACAGGAGAGAAGGTTTTGCAATTTTATAACAAATGTCATGTAATTCTACTCATTTTGCCATGGGGCGGAGAGAAAAATATGCAGGACCGGCTCTGACTGCATGTGTGTATGCAGATCCGCGAGCCACTGCGGCCCCTCATGATGAGTTCACCATCAAAGTTGCCCATCCCTGCCCTATTGTGTACCATATGATGTCATTATCGTTTTCCTTATTAATAGTAGTTAGCCCCTAATAGTTATTGTTGCTAATTGCTCATTTATTTTCATCAAAATAACAAAGGATCCCTAAAGAATTGCACAGCTATGTAATCTCCTGTCTTCACAAAAAGACAAATGTTGCAGCAGCTGAAATGAAATGTCACTGAAATGACAACTGAAATATTGTGCATTGAATAACATGCTAAAATAAGTCCCTGCACACTTACAGCTCTATTCTATGACAACCCCCTCATTCTGTCAGCCCCATACATTGCCGTCTATAGATGTATGAATGTCGCTGTATGTTTTTCACTGACATTTTTGTGGCGCAGAAATATATCATACATTCCTTTCAGCCCTATATTTTCAGTCACTATGAATTTATTTAACCATATGTTCTTCGTTGAAATGCTTTTAATTTAATGGTGCCTCAATATGCATAAATCCCTATCCACTTTCAGCCAATCAGACCCATTTTCGTGACTCATATATGAATGCAGCCGTAAGTTACATAACCCCTCCTCCCCAGCAGCTTGCCGTATGAGGACACCCATGTCCACACCGAACCTACTGTAGATTGCAGCACTCAGCATAAATACCCAGAGAGACGGAGAAGGGGAGGGGTTGGGGCAATGGTGAAAAAAATAGATAAATAATTAAATCCCTCCTTTTGGCTGAAGAACAGAGGAGATTCAGAGATTGAGGAGGAGAGAGGGATGCTTGGGTATAAAGGAGAGCAGGGAGAGAGAGAGAAGCAGAAGGCTTATTTTCGCAGGATTGGCACCGATTGGACACGGTGACACAGATGCATGGAGAGCGGTCAAACGCACGGCGCACACACACACTTTTACAGACGCTGACACTATCCCTCTTCCTCTCTCTCTCACACGTTCACTGTACACACGCATCGTACACATACTGATACAGACATTCAAGGCTCTTTCCCTCCCATTCACTGTCTCTCAAACACACACACACAGAGAGACGTGTAGAGCTCTCCCTTCCTCTCCCTGCCTCATAGACACACACACACACACACACACACACACACACATGCTAGCACAATCACAATCACATTTTCTCCACACACACACACACAGATCATGCACAGAGGCACCGGTAAAGAACAAAAATGCTCTAATAGAAACTGACACGCACGTACATACAGTACACACACACACACACACACACACACACACACACAGTGAATCAATAAAATACCTAGAACCCAGAGCCAGGGCTGACACATTAGTTAGCATACACAACCGTAACTCCTCACATACAGAACTAGGCAAGCAGCAGCAGCATCATCACCCCGACCCACTCCAACACAGCACATCTCTGCTACTGGGATGCAATCAATACAAGATGCAGGAATGAAACAGGGGATGACGGAACACAGTCTGGAGAATGAAAAAAGAGAGAGGAAGAGAATTAGGATTTTCCATCATTACCTGCCGTCTGTGTGTTCCGCCTAATAGGGCTAGCCAGAAAATACTGGAGAGAGATGGAGAGAGAGGGAGAGAAACAGAGAGAGGGAGGGGGAGAAACGGAGAGAGAGGGAGAGCAAAGAGGAGGAAAACAGAGGGAGGGGGTAAAATGTGTGACAGAAGGGGGAGGGGATGACAGGATGACTCACAATAAGATGCTGAGAAAAGAGGAGAGAGAGAGGGAAGAGAGTGAGGAGGGGGAGGTCAAGGGGATTGACTAATTAGACGGAAAGAGGGATGGAGGAGAGGTGGATCGGAGAGAAAAAGACAGGGTACTGCATTTGGAACTGCAAATCAGCTGTAAAAATAGAGAGGGGAAGGAAGAAGTGGAAGGGGTCTGTCTACCCCCTTCTCTCTCTTTCCCTCTCTCATCTAGCTTCATCTCTCTCATCTCTCCACTCTCATCTCTCTCTCTTTCATGATCTTGTAAAGGCAGTGTAGTCGGTATAGAAGGCACCGTCCATATACACTATTACATAATCTATACTAAATAATAATAATAATAATAATAACATGCCATTTAGCCGACGCTTTTATCCAAAGTAACTTACAGTCACGTGTGCATACATTTTTACGTATGGGTGGTCCCGGGGATCGAACCCACTACCCTGGCGTTACAAGCGCCATGCTCTACCAATTGAGCTACAGAGGACCACAAACACAGGCACAGCAATGATGCACCTACAGTGATTACCATTTCTTATACACTCAGTGGCCAGTTTATTACGTACACCACCCCGTTCACGAAAATGGATCGCTCCTACAGACAGTGAGTCACGTGGCCGTGGCTTGCTATATAAAGCAGGCAGACAGGCATCGAGGCATTCAGTTACTGTTCGATAGAACGTTAGCATGGGCAAAACGAGTGACCTATACAACTTTGAGCGTGGTATGATCGTCGGTGCCAGGCGCGCCTCTTCCAGTATCTCAGAAACTGACGGGATTTTCACACACAACAGTGTCTAGGGTTTACCGAGAATAGTGCGACAAACAGAAAACATCCAGTCAGCAGCAGCCCTGTGGGCAAAAACAGCTTGTTGATGAGAGAGGTCGAAGGAGAATGGCAAGAATCGTGCAAGCTAACAGGTGGGCCACAAACAGGCAAATAACGGCGCATATTGGATGCATATCTTGGAATGCACAACTCGTCGATCCTTGTCACAGATGGGGTATTGCAGCAGACAACCACACCAGGTTCCCATCCTATCAGCTTAAAACAATAAGAAGCCACTCCAGTGGGGACACGATCATCAACACTGGACAATTGAGGAGTGGAAAAACATTGCCTGGTCCAACAAATCCCGGTTCCTGTTGT